TTTCTATCTATTGTCATTAGTTGAGGAAAAAATCGTAGATGTATTTTGTATATACAAGTGAATTGTTATCTTGCTGCAACAAAATTCGTTTATGTGATTAATTTCATCATATTCCAACGTGCACATCGATGGAATTAATGTCACATCAATTTGATATGATATGGATGTCTGAGGGCATAGGTGGCAATGGGTCGGGTTGGGGCGGGTTTTGTCAAACCCAAACCCAAACCCATGGGTTTATCCGCCAAAAAAACCCGGGGTAAAACCCGGTGGGTTTGAAAAACTCAAACCCAACCCAACCCGCTGGGTATCCGCGGGTTCATGGGTACTCGTGGGTTTTTGTGGTAAAAAATTTACAATAACAAGTTTCTTTCAAAATAAAAGTTTAACATCAATTTTCTCATACAAATTATTCATACAAAAAACACCAATCTAGAGCATACAAACAACCCTTAAATGATCAATACAAATTGTTCAAAATTAAAGATAAACATCTATAAACAATAAGATTAATTGAAAGTTTCTTCCTCGTCAACTAAGTTTCTTCATTCTCCACTTCATAATATCAACTTCATTCTAAACAATTAGAAAGAACAAATTATACATGTCTCCACACACATAAAGAATATTAGTTGTTTAAGGAAGATATATTATTTAGAATATTAAATATACCGGAAAAGTAATTATATGTGTGTGGGCGGGTACCCATGGGGCGGGTTTACCTAAACCCAAACCCAACCCGGTGAATAGTATAGCGGGTTTAAATCCGAACCCAGCCCAAATCCCGTCAATATGGGGTTTACCCGCGTTGATCAGGTTGGGTCGGGTAAATACCCGTGGGTTCGGATTTTGTTGCCAAGGCATAGGCAAACTATTCCACATGTGAGAAGTCCCGTGAATCGTGATGCAGGATAGTGGTGGAATTCTGACGTGGAATTGTCACCGAAAAATTCAACCCTCAAATCCATCCCACCAACGAAACAACTGCGGCTCATAATCAAGGGATAGCTAAGCTTCTCTTCCTCTTCTTCCAGTGTAAAAAATCTTGACCGCCAATGAGAAACGCATGGCCACGATTCATGCTCCTAATTTATTCACCCATAATCATCATCATTCCAGGGAAATTAGCTAGCATGATATTCATACCATTGACTTGATAGTTGCTACGTTGACACTATAAATCAGAAATTGAACTCCTATATTAACAAACTAAAAGAGAAGATAAACAACAACAACAACAAGAGAGAGGAGAGGAAAGACACTATAAAGCTCGTTTAGAAGTTACGATTGTAAAGGTTGAATGAAAGTGTCAAATTGTAAAACAATGCAGGTATTGTTTTGTGACTTTCTTCCTCACGTGTTGCTTAGTTATATGACTTTATAAGCAATTTCACTATACATTCAATTATAAAGTAATAGGATGTGGTGCTCTGAAAGTACTCAATTAAAAAAACTCTGGACATTTTAAGAGATTGACATTGTATAGGCATAGGACCTGTTCAAAAGTCTTTGAGTCAATCACTTGCACCACTATTTTGGATACAAATAGGGTCAAGAGTTACCTCCACTTCAATGAATGTAGTATGAATGGGTCATTGATACATATTTGGCAAAGCCTAGCGAATGCCATATTTGTCGTACTCGATATGTCTGCGTTCAAAATTTGTTACATGTACTTTGATATATTTTGATACGATAAATTGGAATCGTTAGTTATTATTATTATTTTTAGATCGATCATATGAATTTTATGGTTCGAGGGGTATAGACTGATATACTCCATGAGTATAGTATAATCCAGGTGATCTAACCATTAGATGTACTTCAATTAGCTCCGACCAATCTCAACGGCCTATTATTGTTTTCTATAAAATTTAACTTTGGGTTTAGGTTTAGAGAATCAAGGCTTGAGTTTTATCCATTAGGGTATAATATCATACCTTCAAACTTGATTTAATTCACGGTGTAACTAGAGAAATCTCAGTAGGAGTACCTGGAGTATAGTATACTCTCATAAGTACACCAGTCTAACCCATATATGTATATAGTTCAGGCCAGCATACGCTACTGTATGCCTGCCGAGCTTTACATTTTAGACCACGGATTAAAATTTTGAAAATAATATTATACCCTAACCTCTAATAGGTGAACCATAATCCCTACTCCCCCAACCCGAACCATAAAATTAATTTAATCTAAAAATAATAATAGTCGAGAATTCCGATTCATTAATAATCGATATCTCGACCAACTAGCTCTCTCACATACCCACCCACAAATCCTTTCTCCAACCGTACATCTCGAACAAGTATTTAATATCATCAGAAGGTACGGTGAATTAGCCGTCCACATATATATAATACCCCCATTGACAAAACCACAAAAAAGGCTGGAATCTATTCTCTTCCCCCCAAAATCTCTCCATTGTTACGTTGTTGAGGTATGATATTGAAGAAGAGACATGAGAAATACAGCCTGTTGGTTGGTTTCCCTGCCTTGTGTCCCTGCGAATATACAGGCCCTCCCAACCATCCCTCTAAATTAGTATAAAAATTTGCCCTTAAAAATCATTCAGCTGGTTGGGTTAGTTATGTTACCAACACGATGCCAAGCAATGTCCACTAGCCATGATATACCAAACATGGGAAATGTTTAATGCCCTAGATAGAGATCTATTGAATTTAGGGGAGAAAATGGGATTTGAAAAGGAAGGAAATGAACCGAATTATAATCATGGTCGCCATGTGGTGCATATCAATAAGAGATTCATAGCCCCAATTTTTGAGAATAAGAGACCATAACAATAATTAAAATTTCTTTTGGTTACAAATAAATATATATATGCTAAAAAAAATAGATGTATCAGAGTTAAAAATAAGTGAGATATGATCCAGTATAAAAATAATGGTGATCAGAAGAAACAGATGCGAGTGATCGGAGTATCGTCTCTCTTTTCCGAAATATGTGTCATCAAAGAATAAAGATAGAGAGAGTTATACAAAACTTATCAACCCGTCCTTCCTTGTCCCTGTATATGGCTGTGGGTTGTTCACGATCATGTCAAATGGGCAACTTGAGATATTGAGTCTTTAGAGTTGATGAGGTGAGATAGCATGACTACTCTTAAAAGGGTTGGAAAATTGACACCCCCTATTAATTATAGGCTTTTAAGGTAATTATTTTGTGTTGCATTTAATAATTTATCTAGATTAAAACTCATATTAATTACTTTTCTTTTTAGTGCAATAGTAGTTGTACTAGTGTACAGGTGCAATGGTAGTTGTATCAGTCCAATGGTAGTTCAAAAAAAGAATATAAAATTTTCAGAAATTATAAAATGCAACACGAATTTAATACAAAAATCACTATAACTAATAGTGGGTGTCATTTTTCCAACCACTTATGAGTTGTCAAACTAATCGACCCCGAGTTTCTCGGTTTCATATCAAATTTGCTCTCATAAAATAATAGTAAATACGAGTGGGGTCAAGAATTAATTCCATCTACGAGTAGATTCAATTTCTATCACTTTTGATATTATTTTTAATTCAAAAAATTCAGCCAAATAGAATTAATTTCTCTACCATTTTACGATTTTATCATGCATACCTAAAATATAGTCATCAAATTCCAATTGTGGATATTTTTTTCTATCCCAAAGCACTAATGTTATATTATCCACCCATGAGGTAGTGGTGACACCGGATATTATGCTACTCCATAGTATTATACTATTAGTAGTTCGTATCGGAGTTATTGTCCTATATTTACAACAAAAATATTGTACTAAAAAACAATAACTACAACTATGATTGTGTCTAAAATTATATATAGTCATACAACTACAAAAATATACAACAACTACAACTAAAAATCAATAACTACAATTATTATTATTATTATTATACTACTCCTAAAACCAGGGGTGATAAAACGGTTATGTTGTTAATCTTTTAATCGTTAACTACATCGTTAACCGATGATTAATTGTTAAGTCGTTAACCGCTAAGGAGAATGCAAGTCGTTTAACAAAAGTTTGAAATTCCTTATCGGATTACTAAGTCATAAATGATTAAAGAACCGACAAGAATTGTTAACCACTCAACCCCCCTCCCCCCGGCCACTATGCACTCGTTGACTCCAATCTCATCGTTTTCTCGGCTAAGAAAAAAGAACGAAGGACAGTCCGCAAACCACGAACCGCTTGCCGTTGCCCTCAGCCCTCCTCTTATGCTTTACTCGGATGGAGAAGAGGTGACGGCTAGAGTTCAACTTTCTTTTCATACATTCTCTAAAAAATACAATGATGCCACGTGCCTTTTGCCAGATTCACAAACCTACGACCAATCTCTTTTTCAAAACGAGTAGGAGGGTTAACCGTTAACTACATCGACAATTAACGATTAATCGCTAACTCTTAACGGATCTACTAACAATAATTTTTTTTTTTTGATTGACGAATAACTATTAACCTCATTTTTAACTAACCGTTAACCGCTAACCGACCCGACTATCACCTCATCCTACAACCCTCTAAAAAATCGAAATATGCTTCATAGTCACCAAGCCAACCCATCTTCTGAGTGCCCATTTCCCTCGTGGAAGCCACTTCGGCCCACACAACCAATTTCATCCGCAGCCTTAATTGGACAGCTCTCACCTCTCACCCCCAAACTGATAGCAGTCGGTCACAATAAACGGACTCTTCACATGCCCATTCATCAGCCTCTGTTTCTCTCAAAGAAAATCAAAAAATTTCTCATCAGCGGGAAGCAGGGGATCAGGGGAGATCTTAATCCTCATTAGTTAAAAAGAAAACCCCCACCAGCTTAATCCCTCTCTTAAATAGCTCTGTCTCCAACCCGCGCGGTTTAAAACAGAGTCACAACACCACTGTTCCCTCCCCATTTCACCCGCCGCCCTCTCCGTTCCCCTGTTCCTTCCCCCTCTCTCTCTCAAACCTTCTTCTTCGGTTCTTCCCACATATAAGTACCCAAAAACAGCAATCCCTCAGAGAGGAAAGCAACAAATTTCTCCTCCGAAAGAAACAACTTTCGAAAACCATGTCCGACCCCTCTTCTTCTTCTTCTTCCACGCCCTCCTCCTCCATCCGTCTGCACTCGAAGCTCCGGTTCTTCGCCCTCGTCCGTCGCTTCTTGCGATCCAAGGCTTCCCACAATGGGAAGTCCAGACCTTCTGATCATAAATCGGCCGTGAAGAGTACGGAATTAGGAGCTGGTCCGGGGAAAGGGTCGACGGAAGTGGGGGGATTTGAAGAAATTGATGATTGCTTGGATTTGCAGAGGTCGGTGAAGAAGCTTCACTTCGGGAGCTGGGAAGAGAAGGAAGCGGCTGCGGTGGATATTGGGAGGTTGGCTAGTAAGGAGGATGTCAAGACGAGGAAATCGATCGCCGAGCTTGGAGTGATTCCAGTGCTGGTAGAGATGATGGGTTCCGGAGCTGTTTCCCGCCGGCGAGCCGCCGTCACGGCTTTGATCGAGCTGGCCAACGGCACTTTCACGTAAGTTAAACCAATCAAACCTTTATTCTGTTTCAATTGACCGCATACTTCGATCAAATTCGAACTGATACTTGCTTCCCCTGTTTTGATCCATCTCTGTCTCTGTTTTATTCTCTAAACATCTTTCTGATTCTGTTGTTAGTTGTTACCCTTTGCCGATTACTATAGCTCAAGAATCATCCCTCTTTTTGCCTCTGCTTCACGTCTCTTTCCTTCAAATTCCAATGCTTTTTCCCCCCCTTCAATTTGATTAATAAAAAAATATATGGGTAGATGGGATTGGAGGGTTTTTCGTCAAAGGTGAGTTTGAAGCCATCAGAGTAATAAAGTTAGGTTCTTTGGCATCATCTGGGCCTTTTTCTTCTGAAGGTGGTGGGAGTGGCAGTTACTGGGTGCATTATAGAGAATGAAAGCATTAATGGGTCTATACCTAAAAATAATCAAGTCTCAACCTGTTCATAGTCAGTCAAAAATCGCCCACCTTCCTCTGAAATCCTCTTGGAGCACCATCTTCCCACTAGACCCTAATGATGCTCTGCTTCTGGACTTTTGATCGGATTCATTTGGAAGCATTTTGGTTCATCATCAGATTCCAATAATAATTTTTTAAATCCTTTTGGAAATTTCACTAACTTCTTTGTACCACCATCTTCCCAGTTCCCACTAGACCTTTTATTTATGCTCTGCTTCTGGACCCATACGTGGGTTCACTTGGCATTAAATAAACGAGATAGGAAAGACGGCAATTTTGTCTCCAAACCCCATTTGAGAGCTTGATAGAAATGATGGTCGTACTCAGGTGGAGGAGGGCCCTGCCCTCGACCTGCTCCATCCCACCATTATTGGGAAATGAATGGTTCATAGTTGGAGCAGAGCATGGGTCTCACATGGCAGCTGATGCAGCTTAATTCCACCACTGTTAATCTCTGATAAAAAAAAAAAAAAAGCTTGTACAGCTCAGAAGGGAGGAAGTTCTTGACCTGCCCTGTTTTTCTAAATTCAAAACACAGATCTGAAAACTGAGACGAATCCAGTTGACTTTGTAGAAAAGGATTTGGTTGGTTGGTTGGCGTGCGCCTAAATTTCAACACTTTGTCAGTAAACCACACACCTATGATTCCATACTCATTTCAATTATTATGAAATAATAATAAATAAATAAATAAATTGCTACTAACCCAGATCTCAATATCTTTCTGTCTCGTTTCAGGAACAAGGCTCTAATGCTAGAAGCAGGGATCCTGTCAAAATTCCCCGCACCGGAAGAACAAGAATCAACCCTTCTTCTCAACGAATTCGCCGAACTAATCCTTTCACTATCTTCCTTACCAAACCCCCAATTCCAATTTTCCCTAACGAGAATCCTCCCGTTCATCCTGAAAACCCTAGAATCACCAACTTCCACCGCCGACGCCGCTGCCAAGCAATCCTGCTTATCAGCTCTGTTCAACCTCTCCGCTGCTCTTGAAACGGCGTCGCTCCTATCATCAAACGGCGCCGTTTCCGCCCTCCTCACGCTGATTTCGACAAAGCCCTTCGCCGAGAAGGCGCTGGCGACGCTGGGGCAAATGGTGGTGACGGCGAGCGGGAAGAAGGCGATGGAGGACAGCTCAGCAGTGCCGGAAGGGCTAATCGAGGTGCTGACGTGGGACGACAGGCCCAAGTGTCAGGAGCTGTCGGCCTACGTGCTGATGATCCTGGCGTACCAGAGCTCGGCCCAGCGGGAGAAAATGGCCCAGTGCGGGATCGTGGCGGCCCTTCTCGAGCTGGCCCTTTTGGGGACCCCGCTGGCCCAGAAGCGGGCGTTGAAGCTTCTGCAGTGGTTTAAGGACGAGAGGGAGGCGAAGATGGGCCCGCATTCTGGGCCGCAGATGGGGAGGAGGCTGGCGATTGGGTCGCCGATTAACCCGAGGGAGGCCCAGGAAGGAAGGAGGCTGATTAAGGATTTGGTGAAGCAGAGTTTGAACAAGAACATGGAGATGATCACGAGGAGGGCGAATAACGTTGGGGGTGGTTCTTCCAAGCTCAAGAACTTGGTTGTTAGCACGAGTTCTAAGAGCTTGCCTTACTGAGCGGAAAACGACGCCGTTCCATTTGTAAAGTAATCAGGAGAAGAAGAGAGACACTTCTCTTTTCTCTTCTTTGGTAGTGCATTGGATGCTACATTTGGCTTTTTGTAGCTAGAGTTGGATTTTGAATTGTTTCAGGCTCCCCATGCAGAGAGGAGGAAACTTTCCGGGAAAACAAAAAAAACAAAAAAGAGCAAGGAATTGACGGTGTAAATGGATTACTATTTATTGTTTCTCGTTTCGAGTATTTAATAATTTTGTTCTGCCAATATGGAGAGCTACGAGTCATATCGAAGAAGTTTTGTTTGGAAACTGAAATTTGGAGTTGTTTCATTTTCATTCATCCCTTGGTCTGAATATGAAGGGCTTGATCATTAGATGCCAAGGAGTGGTAGCTTGGCATTGTATTTGGAGAAAGAAGGCTTAAAGTAAGACCACATATGTTGCAAAATGAAAAAGATAAGATTTGCTATTGAAACAATAGATAAACGAGGATGCTTCATCTGTTGTTATAAATGACATCGATTCACTTAATTACTTCTAGGTATTTGTTGTTACGGGTTCTCAATCTTTGTGATGAGATTCACTATCTTCTGTTATCCCTCACAAACTAGTAGCGCAAAATGTGCACATCAAATTTGAAGAGAAGGTCATTGAAAAGTATTGGTAACAAAGTTGCATCCACGTGGGCTGTCTGACCTCCTCCTCATTTTTTCTTCAATGTTAGTTCACATTATTTCTTCAGTTTATTCTAAGAACTCCAACGTTAAACGTGCTTTATTGTGGGGTATTGTAAGGATGATTGACTTTATAACAAGTTATTGTGATATGTATCTCAAGAAAATTTCGTAAGAGTCTAAATTCAAAGTGAACAATATATTGTTGGGAAAAGGTTCGAGATGTTACCAAATCCATTGAATATTTTTTTGGCAGGAAAAGTGAATAATAATATATTTTTATGTAAGAGCATTCACATTAATGCAATTTATGCACCTTTGACTTCTTTGGGCAACGATTACTAAGACACGGCTCACACCTCTTCAAACAATGTTCGAACGAGGGTGTTTGATTGATGGTTTCTGAGAACAAGATCTAAATTAAATTACTTCTACTCCTATGGAGGTTCGACGAGAGCTCCAAACTACGAACTACATCTATGGCTACATGATAGAGAAAAGGTAAAGGATAAACTTGACATGTGTGTCAGTTGTGTGGTTTTGGGAACCCCTGTCTCTGTCGACCCCTCCTCTTATTTATAGCCACAAGGAGGTAACCGCCATACAAAACCGCTTGTTGGATAACTGCTACAAAGAACCGCTCCCCCTTCTTCGGTAGAAAACCACCTCTTGGATAATTCCCAAAAAGAACCGCTCCCTGCTTCCTCGGAGTGGTGGTTACTCCTTCAACCGCCGAGGGGCTTCTCTTGTAACCGTCGTGGGTCTTGGAGTGTAACTTGCCTCGCCTGGTCTTGTTCTGAATCTCCTGTCATGCTAGTCTTTTGATAAGCATGTGGTGTCTCACAAAGGGGGGCGTGGTCTTCTTGCCTCGCGGCCATGGACTTCTTACTCATGTCCATGGCCTTCATTCGTGTCCATGGACATCCTCGTGAGGTGGCATGGACCTCTCAATCATGCACAAGGCCCCTCTCATGAGGCAGCATGGCCTTTCCAAACTTAGTATTTTCAATCATTTCTAATGCTTCTTGCTTCGCGTCCATGGTCATCACATGACACGGCCATGGACCTCTTAATCATGCACATGACCCTTCTCGTGAGGCGGCATGGCCTTCTCAGACTTAGTATATTTTGGATCATGAGGCGACATGTCCTCCTCATTCGCGGCCATGGACTTCTCAGTCATGTCTGTGGCCTTTCTCGTGACACAACATGGCCCTCTCATACTTACTATCTTTTCTTGCGTCCATGCCCCTTCTCGTGAAGTGGCATGGACGTCTCATCTTGTCTCGCGTCCATGCCCCTTCTCATGGAGCGGCATGGACCTCTCGTTGAAGTGGCACATGCTTCTCCTTGAAGCGGCATGTACCTCTTCCAGACTTAGTTTATTTTTCAGTCATCCAGTCTTGGTCATGGGGCGGCATGGCCTCTTCGTGAAGTGGCATGCCCTTCTCGAGACTTAGAATATTTTTGACCGTATCGAGGTCTTCCTTGAGATGGCATGTGCTTCTAAATTCTAGATGGACATGTTTTTGTGTCGTTTGGTCTTGGTTATGAGGCGGCATGGCCTCTTCATTCATGGCCACGGACTTCTCATACTTAGAAATTTTCATTCCATCTCGTGGCATGGCATGGCCTCTTACAAGAGGCCCATGTCTCTTATTGAATCATGTCCATGCTCATTAATGAGCTAGTGACTTTGGTTTAAAATCAATATCCATAAGACCCAATTTAAACAACATTACTTGTTATAATGGGTGTGACCTTATAAACTCCTTAATTATCTTGTACCTCACCACTGTGGTACAAGACAAAATTTATGGTGTAAACAAAAAGCAATTGCATTTATATTCTTTATTGTCAACTCAATTTTTTGCAATCCACCTCAAATCAATTTCATTCACTTGCATCAATTCAATTAACTTGCAATTACACATGTAATTAAATATTATGTTTAAATTATAAAAAACAATAGAAAAGAGATAAGAAAATATTGTAAAATAAAATATCCATTTTTAAGGCATTTTTTACTTGCATATACAATTGCATTTGTTGGAAGCTTGCAAATATGCACTTGGTATCCACATCAATGCAACTGGGTTTGCAATCGCAAACATTCATACCATGTCATCTTGCAATTGAGATTGCAATACCATTGTGGATGCTCTAAGAATAATTATTCACCGTTTATGCGGAAATTTTAGTTTGTACAAATTTTTAGGTTGGGGGTATCAATGGGTTTTAGTATATAACTAGCTTGTGACCCGGCCTGTTGGCCGGATTACTTTATTTTACCCACTCGTGCAACGGGAGTGAAAGTGAGCGGGAGTGAAAGCGAGCGAGAGGGAGAGAGCGTCTATTTTATTTAAAAAAAATATTCAAAGAGTTATTAAAGCATTAATATTTTTATTTAAAAGTTTATTAAATATACTACTAAATTTTAGATAAAATACTACAATACATCTTTTTTAATTAAATACATACATATAAAAAATTAAATTTTAATAGCTCATTTGAACGATTTGTTACTAATTTTATGCAAAATATTATATATATTTACTTTATATTTTAAATTATTTATAAAAAAATAAAATTACATGTATGCCCCTCCCGTCTCAACCTCTAAGTTTTCCCCAAATGGTATCCTTGTACTCCCATCCCACGGTCTTACTATTTTACATCTTCTTCCAATTTTTTCTAGTCATCGATCGTCGACGCTTCGTTCCCTTCCATTAAAAGGGTATCGTCTATAAAATTTCACAATTATAAGATAAAAAATTCTTATACCAGTCTAAAAAATCTCTAAATCAGTGAAAACGTCAATAATCTCACGAACCTATCTCTTCCAATTTAGTTCTGAGCTATTTATTTGGCTAAGTTCACAGCTTGTGTAAAAGATTCTAAATCATAAAGAGTATTTGTCTGCGAATCTCAATCCTATAGAGAGCTTGTATTGTCTTAAACTATTTTTTGTCAAAATAATCATTCTTAAATTATTCCCTACCTCCTGCATCGAGACCCATATTTCTCTCTTTCTTATTTTCCTGATATATTTCTCATATACTTTTCCTTTTTAATTGTCATAATTGATTCCCAAATACCAACCGATAAACTTGCATCCCTCTAATCTAAACCATCCCGAACCGGCCCAGGTCGAGATTGAGTGTAGTGGGCACCAACCTTCAACAAACTGTCAACCCGATAAGACGTGAGCAAACACTTATAAATCACATATAAAAGATTTCAAACATCACAAAGAATAAATTAATTCCAATAAATGGTAGAAATAAAAGTACTCATTCAACAATCAAGTGAGTTGGCAGTTAGTTCATGGTTTAAATAAATTTATTTATCTAAAGAATTAAAATGCATAATCATTTTCATGTTCACTTATTTACATTGTCTTTGATGTACAAATTCATTGACAAATCAAAAAAATAATTTTGAAATACCGTATGAAAATCAATCTCGTCTCATGATTGTTGGATCAAACTGGGTATATTTTAAATGAATTGGGATTTTTTTATATAGTTCTTGCATGATTGGAATATAATATTCATGTTACTTGTTGTTTGTGATATTACTGGTAATGAGTTCGTATATTTTTTTGTTAATAGTTCGTATTGACTTATGACTATAGTTGAAGGCTTAGTATAATGACCAAAATCTACAATCTTGTGAGTATTTTTTTTTTTTTTTGAACTTTTGGTTTAAATAAAACACTTCATAGCCTAAACACAAATATACAATCACTGTTGTGAAAATTAAATTTTATGAAAAAAAAATCACGACTTTACAAAGAGTATTCCTAGCCAGTGCAGATGATTATAAGGAACCGGATTGATAATAGCAACAACTTAATGAACTTCCAAAATCCCATCATCCGAACTTGCTTGAAACTTAAAAGACCAGTACAAAAACTGAAACATTTAAAATTTGTTGTTGATAAATTAACAAAGCGATTACTGCATCTGAACCCAGTAGAAGCTTCTTCTCATGAAGTTAATTTTTCTACAAATTTTTGTTGGGGCTTGCAAGCTCGCTGCACTACTGAATTTTGCATACATGGAGGGAAGAAGCCCATAAAAAGGACATTGATATGAAGGCTAAAATATAAGGATCCTCTTGAGTTACACATTGACCTGTTATTGCCAAACTTCTTCTTGGGGCCCTTTACTTTCCCTCAGCAAACAATTTGGTCCCTTTCTTTAAACGAAATCAAGTTACACACTTTTTAATCCCGCCAGTTCATTCAGCTTTCATCCAAAGCAAAGTTAATCATGCCCTTCCATAAAAGAAGCACATAAAGAATACAAAGTTAAAGCGACCCATCACTTGTATAAGAGAAAAAGAAAGAACTGTTTATAGAGTAGGGCTTGTCACAAAGCAAGCTTACCAATTTGTAAGTTGCCACTTTCCAGTTGCTTCATATTAAACCCCAAACGTCTAAGCTCAAGCCTAGCAAGATTAAATGAAATAAAAAACACAAATTGTGATCACAAAAGGGTTAATAACTAATTTCTAAACAGCAAAGGAAGTCAAAAGAAGCCTACCAACGAAGAATATCATGAGTGAAAGAAGACATTCAACTATCAGGGTGTGCCCGATGTATCTTGTTTGGAGCCAAACCCTGAAAATTCAATTGAGAATTTTGATGTCCAAAACTAAGCATGGTATTAACATTGATGGCGGCAACATTTAACTTAAGCCTGTAGTAGTGAACAATTGAATGAGATTATTAAATACTGTCTCAAGCAGACTCAAAGTTGGACCAAAAGCCGGTAGTTAATACACAATATCAAGCTTCTCCATAAGAAACATGAAGAGTATAGAGAAACCATTCTTCTAAACCAACTGACTTGTGCAGTTGTACCGTAGACACCGCCACATCTGCACTTGTAATGATGGCTTTCAAATTCACACAAAATTTTCTTGCCCGATTATCCATTTTATCACCAACTATCCACACAAAGGCATACAATATATATAAACTCAACAATAGAATGCCATCACACCAAAATGATACCCATTCAACTACTCATCACAATACACGGCCCAAATGTCAACCAAAAAAGCTCCTATAAGCAACCAAAGCCAGAGATTGCATTACCCCATCCATCAACCACATTGCATACATTAAAGTGTTGCTGCTAGCGTTGTATTTTTTTGAATAACTTGTTTTTCAAGCAAGAGCTAATAAAATGGGACGACAACAATTACCGAAAAAATCTGGACATTAGAGATCAACTTTTACCTGCATACGAAGGAATAAACGAACAACAAAGCCCATAAGCAAATCATTGATAATGAAAAACAGAGAGGAGCATGGCATGATAATCAGATTGCTTTCTTTGTACAATGAGAATCAAGGGTTCAAAATATTATAATCAAACATAAACACCAGAAAAGAACAAAGAACAAAAGAGACAAATCACATATACATAGCTTTCGGACTTAAAATTTGCATTTCCACCGCAAGCAATGTCATAAAAGCAAGATCAAATAGAGCTAAAGAAGGAAACAACCCACATTGATTTGGCAAAATCATATCAAGGTCAATGTTGTTTCTGAGTTCAAGCTATAAAAAGGAAAAACAAACCATATAAACCAACAAATAAAAGATTTAGTAAGCAAAGGCACAAAATTCACAAAACAAAAGGAAAAATGAACGAAATATAAAGCCTACTTGGCAAATCACTGAAATTTGTCAACATCACCCATTAACTCGATCCATCCAAGTTTCAGTCAGACATATATCCTGTTAACAAATGACCATGACACCTGTGATAAATGAACAATTAGGCAAGGAAACAACAGTAAGAAAGTTTTAGTTGAATGAATCACATTATTTAGAGGAAAAACTCGGAGCTGTGAATGGTGAAAAAAATATGAGGTCAATACTGGTCCAATGATTTTACTATGCAGAATGCACAGTAGAACCTAATGGAGTCAAAGATACTGTCCAGCTAAGACCAAAAGCTTCCATGAATGATATGTTGAAATGTGTAGGAGCAGAAAAGCAGAATAAGTTAAGGCTCTAATTTGGGTTATTTGTTCTCCAGATTTTAATGACAGATGGAATTAAAATATGATATAGAGCTTTCAATGACATAAACAATAAGAATCACCATTTTCAGCAGCCTGGATCTGTGTCGATGAACTCCAATTTCCTCCTCTCGTCAACAGATGCAGCTCGGCAAGACTCTGGCAGCAAATTTCCAAGAAATCCATGATGAATAAAGACAGCATACATGAAAAAGGCAGAAAATAAGGGATCAACAAACTCAAACACAAAAATAACCGGAGGGACCACTGCTTACTGGACTTCTGGTTCTTTGCTATTTGGTTTATTTGTGTACGTCGCCTCCACCATGAGTCATCAGTAGTTATCTGTTTTGTTTGAAACTCGAATCAACCATCGTCAACATAACTAATAGGAAAAGGAAGTAAAAGACATTGAGGTACTCTCTGCAAAGCAAAAGAGAGGGAGAGAGAGAGAGAGCATCAAGAGGCCATACTCATGGACTTCTCAGGCCTAATTAGGATCACAGTTTCAGATTCTCTACTTCGTTGGAGAGATCCACCTTCTTCATCCATGATCAGCAAGCCTTACATCCACAGAGAGAGAGATCCACGTTCCTCCAGTAGAATACCTGGTAATCAAAGGATTATAAGTAGCCGATAATCAAAATAGCAACAACTGAACAACTTGATGAAATTCCAAAATCCTATCATCCGACCATAAAAAGTATCTAATAATTTAATAACAATTGTGAACCCTAACCCGAGCTGCTCCTGAAAAAGGAGCAATTGAACCACACACTACATGAAAGTGAACGCTATTGGATCAAACTTAAACAACTGTAGTAGCAGCCGGAACTTGTTTAGAAATAGAGGGTTAATCAATTTAGGATGATTGAACAACGGGAGTGTGTCCAATCGGGAACTTGTTTAGTAAGAACTTACACAGGCTGAATCCAACATAGTAAGCCTCATAAATTTTGAGGGGAAGGTGAACACGGATGTAGCGGATGCGTCGAATCGAAAAAAGGAAAGGTATCACCTGCAAAAGAATTTCAATTCAAGACAGCTGCCGAACTGAAAACCTATGGAGGAAATGAAATTGAGAAATGATATAAGACGGGAAGCCCCAAACATAGAGAACAACTTACTTCGATAATCTTATTGATACCGGCGAAGAATTTGACGATGGTGGTAACTCAGTCAGAAAGGCGCCAATTACACCAGAATAGTAGGCGGTCGATGCGGCAAGAAGGAATCAACGATGACTGTGAGATAAATTCGGGGTAGAGGAAAGTCGTTGTGGCAAGGGGGGAGTCGACCATGACTGTGAGATAATCAAAAGGGTTTCTTCCGACTTCTGGAAATGACAGTGTTTTCGTGGTGGGCCTTGACATCAGAGGCCCGTTCAGGGACGCGAGAAGTCTGTTTCCAAAATTGCCCCTCCGTGAAACGCTCTGGAGCCAGGATTTTTGAAATGGAGCTCCTGTTTTTCCTTTTGGCGTATTATATTATATGTGTAGAAAAAGATCGATAGGTTGGGGTATCAATGTGTTATAGTATATAAAAAAGATCGAAGTGTTTAATATTGCCTGTAGCAAAATAGCAGGACCATTTGGTAAATTTGCTTATGGCTTTATTTTGGAACCACAAAACCGACTTTATCTTTAGACGCCGTGCCCGGCCCGGATTAACGCCCCGATACCAGATTGTCGCCTTTACCCTTCATGTCGGCCTTTATAAAACCCTGGTTCGTTCCTTCCTTCCTTCTCTTCCTCCAATCGGAACTGGCAGCTGGTAGCTAGGGTTTCACATTTCAGACCACAGATTCTCAGCTTCTAGTCCTCTCGTTACAGCGATTCACTATGGATTTCTCCAAGAAGCGGAAGGTCGACGAATTCGGCGTTCCATCCTCGCCCGACGGCGGCACCGCGAACGCCGTTGCAGCAGGCGCAAGCTTAACACAGGAAGACATCCGGAAAATCATCGAGCCTTTCACCAAGGACCAGCTCCTCGACATCCTCCAGACCGCCGCCGTCAACCACTCCGACGTCCTCGACGGCATCCGCTCCCTGGCCGACAGTGACGTCACTCTCCGCAAGCTCTTCATCAGGGGACTCTCCGCGGAGACGACGTCGGAGACCCTCCGCACACTCTTCTCCACCTACGGGGAGCTGGAGGAGGCCATTGTCATCTTGGACAAGAACACTGGGAAATCGAAGGGGTATGGTTTCATTACCTTCAAGCACATCGATGGTGCTCGGATGGCGTTGAAGGATCCCAGCAAGAAGATTGATGGGAGGATGACGGTCACGCAGCTGGCCTCGGCCGGGCAATCCAGCTCCGGCGGTGGTGTCGATGTTTCTTTGAGGAAGATCTATGTGGGTAATGTGCCTTACGATATACCTTCAGAGAGGTTGTTGTCTTTCTTCTCGATGTATGGGGAGATTGAGGAGGGACCTTTAGGGTTTGATAAGTCATCTGGAAAGACCAAGGGGTTTGCTTTTATGATTTACAAGACTGAGGAAGGTGCCAGGGCTGCGATTGCCGAACCAACCAAGAATATTAATGGGTTTCAAGTTATTTGCAAACTGGCTGCTGATAATAAGAAAGGCAAACCTCATGGAGCGGACAATTCACAGATGCAGCCTAATCTACAGCAGCCTGCGATGCAACAGCAACAGCCACCTTACGGCTCGGGCGGTATGCCACCATATGGAGGTTATTCTGGTGGAGTGAACAGCAATAGCTATGGGATGAATTCGTCTATGCCGGGAGCGATGGGTAATGGTGTTTATGGTGGTCAGTATGGAGTTTCTCAATACGGGGGACCTGGTTCGGGTGAGTATGGAATGAATAGTGCAGGGGGTTCGATGTTCAGACCTCCTCCAAGCTCTGCAGGTATGGGTGCTGGTGGTTATCCAGAGAGCGGGCCTTATGGTATGCCTCAGCAACACCAGCCACCATCAATGGCGCCTAGACTTCCACCAGGTGGGATGTACCCTGGTGGCCCACCCTACTACTGAGGTAATTTTCTGTTGTTTTGGGTTTGCTTGTGGTTGTATATGTGTTGCAATCATGTTATCAGGGGCAACCTGGTCTGAATTATTTGTGTATTTCTGTTGCCAATTGCGTTACTGAGTCTCCGTGTCGTGTTTGCACCTATTGACTGGTAGTGTTAACCTGTTAGGCGGGCGTCAAATTGGCAGGCCTACTTCAATTCAACCCTAATGACCTTGAAGCGTTTCATTCTTTTGTCGAAATTAATTTGATATAATTGCTTGGTTTTATAAGTAATCTAAGGTCATTGGTAGATTTTCCGGCTGCATGCTTGAGGTCTTTATTGTAGCTGTCTGCTTTTTACTTTACTGCCTTGTTCCATGGTTGGTATTTTTTAAATTTATGTTTGACTTGTCTTATGTTCTGATAGGTTTTTGATTCAGGTGTGTGACAGCTTCTTGGGCACAATGCTTTAAATGGTTATCTTGATATCTCGTGAATGCAGACCCTGAAATCTTTGGTTGTTGTTGTGGACTGCTCTGTGCTCTTTTGTTGCTGCTTCACTCCATCTCGTTCCATGATCTAGATTCTTCATGAGAAGGATTATAAAGTTCCTTGTTGCTGTGCCTGGGATATGTTCTAATAGATCTAGTTTATGAAGAGGTCCTCTGTTTCTCTTGTTCACCTTGGCTGATATTTGCCACTTGACACTGTCATTGTGGCTAGAACTTTATGTGATTGAGGAATCTAAATTTTCATTAGTGGAGAATTGTTGAGCTTATATGTTTTTGGTATCTTCGAATTTGTACTGTATATTGCTTTATTTGTTTGAGCTTGAGACTATTGTTCCTTTTAGGGTCATTCGCTTGACATGTCATAACCTGTTCCTTTATGTTATATGAAGACTCTCTTGTGTTCCCACATCATTGACTCGATGGTAGCTGTTCGTCGACGATCCAAGTTTGAGCAAATGGATCAATCAGATATAATTTTTTGTTCTGGGCAGCTCTGTGTGCTATGAAAGCTGCATTCTGTATAAATTCCTGCTCTCGCCTACTTCGGGCCACGTCTGGTTTCGAGTATGAGACTATAGCTTCATGTAGGGGTATTTACTTGATATGGTCCAAATTGTGGTTTTGTTACCATAAAGATTTGAATCCCCTCTTCTCGTCATCACTTACCTCTGACAATCACTCTCTTTAGGCCCATGTTAGAGAAGTATCTGATATGATGTAGATTTACTTTGTTGCATTTGTTTGGGGGAGTGGTTTCTATATGTTATAGGATAGGAGCTTTAGTCTGTGCATGCCATATATGCCTTGTCTCGGCAGCAATGATGACCATGCGTAGATGTCACGGTAGTGCTTATGTTCGTAATCCTGTGTTTTATGATACAACGTGGCTGGTGCGGCTATCTGAAATTGATGTGCAATAGCTAGTTAACTGATGGGTGAAGGACTGAAGGTTCCTGCTGACTGGCTTGACTGACTAGATTTACAAGTAATCTGCTGCATACCAACTTTCGAGGCCTCATTTTTTTTTTAATGGTTTCTTACAACTTGCTGAACACAATTTTCAACTAGGGTGGCTGATGTTAATCTTGAAATGGGTGTAGTTAGCTGAGTGCAATGAGTGATTTGCCTGTTGCTTCTTGTTCTTTACGATCTTTTGGAGTTTTGGTATTCATCCTTTTTATGAAGTCCGTTTAGGATGATTGTGAGAAAGGAGTTTAGCAAGGCTGGGTCTGATCGTCGGTAAAACTGTAACCAGCTAACTACTGTGGCGTTTTGTTTTGTTGTTTTCACCACTGCGAGGTTCCCTTGGCCAAGAGCTGTGCAGTTGGAAGGTGGTTGAGGGGGCTCTTTTGGCGGCTCTGCAATTGTAAAATTTTCTGTTTGTTGGAACTCTACAATGGATTATGTAAATGTAATAATGTCATATTAGGATCTTGAAAGAAAATGGCCAGATGTAAAGTTTGTAGCCAGCGCTAGAATAGAGGGGAATAGAATGGCCTATCTTGAGTGCTTCACCGTTAACCTTGCCTTAAGTCTTTGGCAAACGAATATACTAACCCCATCCTAAGTTCTATGGAGTAGGGATCGTCGTTGTAAATTCAATACACTTGTTTCATAATTGTCATTTTAAACATGTGATTCATGTTAAAATGATGTCAATCATCACTTATGATGCGATTGAACAATAAAGCACATGAATTTGAACAAAAAATAATCAAAGATTTACTTTACTTTGAAGGATTTTTAGAGTTTAGAGATTTAGAGTTAGGGTTTACATTTGGAGTTTAGGAGGTTAGGGCTTAGGGCAATCCGTTAATTAGTTGTGATCATATGTTACATCATCATATTATACTAATTATACAAATTAAAATTCAAAATCCGACACTTTAAGACTAGTTTTTAAGTTTGGTGCATTGAACACGCTCATTTTTTGTGAGTGCACCGAAGTAGTCACCTTATAAACACTTGAATATGCTCTATGACAAGGGTGGCATAGGATCCATAATCTATGAATTCAATCTGATTCATCTTGGCGTAAAGTGCAAGTAGGCGATGAATTGGGTTGCAATATACTCGATTGAAGATTGAGGAATGCAATCAGAATAATTAGGATCCATATCAATACAATCTAATCCATCCATCAAATTATCCGTCTAATCCAATCTACTTAAATTTACATGTTATTCAAATCCAATTAGATTGGTGGATTCATGGATCATCCAAATGGCAAATTACGGTTACGTACCTATACTTTTTATATTTTACATTTTGGTACCTGAAATTTATTTTTTATATAAAAATACCACACATAGAAAAATTATGTTTTGGTACCTAAAAATTTTCATTATGACATTTTCGTAACTAAACTTTTCAAAATTTACATAATAGTCCAAGACTTAAATGTCATTTGGATTCATGAATCAATCCACTTGATCCAATCCGTAAATCCACCAATGTATTCGAGCCATGGATCCACCAATCCATTAATTCAATTCATCTGCCACCTCTATCTATGACTAAGCGAAAGTTTGAAGAAACATTTAAACAAGATGAAGCGATAAACGACTGAAAAAAGTTAACTTACTCCATTCTCATCCTCCAATCAAAGCTACAATCCGCATTTTCTTTCCTGTTGTCATTGTTTTTTGAAATCTCCAAGTAGCTAGACCATCTCAACATCATGCAATTTTTCTATAAGAAGGAATCATATTTATGAATTGTTTTTATTCTATAAGAAGGAACTCCATGTCTCGTCCTTGCTAGTACTACTAAGGGAAATCTAACCACTTTTGTTCATCATGCACCAATTATTACTTTCTCCTTATTGCAAAAGGCCACCAAACCGAAAACTAGCCATCAGTTCTCATTAATCTGCTGATCATCAATATCTTTTTATTGTATTCCTTATTTTCTGATGATAAGTCTTAAAAATAGATTCTCAGACCTCAACAAATCAGACCGTCCCGCCCATTATTATCGCAGTAAATCACAAATACGGTTATCTGAAGAAGAAGAAACAGCCTAATAATACTAGGAAAAGGAAGAATTACAGCGTTGGATGGGAAAACAGAGTACGGGTATAATAGGGAAGTAAACTGAATTTTTTTTTGTAACTCGAGTGGCACCTCTGCCTCCCCTCTCTCTAATTGTGGCTGTATTCAGGATTCAGGATTCAGGAATAGTCCACTGCCCACTTAACCGGTCAGCTTCGATTCCTTCTCCATTCTTACTTTTCCTGCAATTTTGCTGCTGTTGGGTTTCAGGTTGCTCGCTCGAGGGTTTTGGGTTTTTTCTTTGTTCGATGATCAGCTTCCGAATAGTCTGTCTAGGTTGAGTGAGCGATCATGGGTTTTGGAATTTCACTCCATGGCAAGCCTTTTGCTTTGTTTTGGTAACTTTCGTTGTGGGGGTATTCTCTTGTTATCTGTAATTTTTACAGCGATGGGGTGGGGTTTCGATGATCGTCTAAATAGTGATTTGTAGCTCACTCCCCTGTTCTTTGAAGGCTTGAAAGTTGCTGAATTTAGTTTTTTTTTTCCTTCCTTTCCTTCCTTCTATGGGTCGTCAATGGCGATCATCGTGTTCCTTTTTCTCGCCCAGTTGCTGGTTTTTCTCCCCCCGCGAGCTGTTTTTGTTCCCCGGATTATCTGAATCGCTTAGGTTTAGCTTACTCCTTCAGAGGGTTTTAGAGACCCCTGGGTTTGATATATTTCGTTGTTGGGTTCTTCTGGCGCTATGGAAGAATCAGAGATCAGTAAATTCGTAGCCTTTTGTGGGTTTTCCTCCATGAAAAACTTACTTGATCTCTTTAATGGCTGAAGAAGAAGGTGCATTACTTGGGAATCCCTCTTAATTTGAAACTAAAACCCTTCTTTTTAGGGTGGAACCTCTGTTGCATATTGCACAGAGTTTGTGTTGCTTGTTTTAAGCAAAGATGGATGGAAGTCTGGCACTGCACTTGCCATTAGTCTTCTGGGCTTTTTTTTTTTGCTTGCTTTCTTTATGCTGTGTTGAAGAATCCATGTCACTGAATCAGAAGTCTTTTGAAATAGCTGGGATTTAATACTGAGCTATCGTTCTTGATTACACCCGTACTCCTCGTATGTATATAGTGCTGACCTTATTCTGTCAATTTGAAGCGAGCTGAAAAGTTTTGCTGTGTAGTTTGTGATCCAATCCAACCTAGGTTCAAAACTGTGAGTAGTTAGTGGGATTTGCTTCGTTGAAGGGCCACCTCCTTTGTAATTGTCTTGTCTTGTGTTACATGTTGCTTGCTTCTTCACCTTCCCTTGGTGGAGTGTCACTGAAATTGACTTTCTGAAAACTGCTATTGATTTGCAGCTATTTATCTGATCAACTAAGAGGTGAAGAGGCAGGCAATACATCCTTTTTCTAGGCAAAGGCACGATTGCCCTACAAGATGGAGGACAAAGTTACGTCTTGGGTTGGTGGTATATACAGAAAGGTTGAAGCTATGTGTATGGAGGCGGATGATATGATGCGCCAGGAAGCACAAGCCTTTGTAGAAATCCATTTACAAAGCGTGGGTGCCAATGTGAAGCAGTTTTGCTCGGAATTTGTACGAGATGTGCTTCCTCAGTCTTCTAATGGATCATCTACCGGAATGAAGCAACGTTTTCAGGTCTCGAAGGAAACTACTGGTGCAGTTACCTACAAGAACTCCAAGTCAGCTGTTGAGGAAGAGCAACTTCAAATTCAAAAACATGACATGCTCCCAGAAAAGATAGATCACGAGGGGTCGGTTTCGTGCAACAACCCACCTATTGAGGCCACACTTCAAACCGAGGTTCCTTCGGAGGTGACCTTAGAAGAAAGCTATTACCGGGAGGAAACCCAACTTCAATGCGAAAAAGATGGTGTGACATCAGAGGATCGTTGCCAACCCGCGGTCTCTGATGATCTACTGGAGCAACACTCTTCCTCCAGTGATGTTAAATCTGCAGCAGCTGCTGAACTGGCAGACTCCGGTGATGATGATAGTTTGAATGCTGAATGTGCTCCTTATGAGCAAGCCAGTGAGTTCTTTCCTTCTAATCGTTTTCCCTATTGCTATGCATTCATTGAACCTTTAATCTTCAGCCTTCTTTCAACTTCACCGTACTGACACCAACTCTCTTCTTTAGCTGCAGGACAATTCGATGGTTGTTGCACCAATGAAACTCCAAATTCGATATCTCCCAATGGAGTGAAGCTTGACGAAAGCTGCATTGTAGTGGATGATTTAGAACTCTACGCTCTTTCGAGTCAGGAAAGACGCTACAGAACACACTGGTCTTACAAGGTAATTCTCCCTTTCATGTGTTTGCATTTGCCTAGCTTTCGAATAGCAAAGAGAGATGATCTAACCAACCCAGTTGGCAATTTCTCTTTTTTCCCTTACGGTTTTGGCAGAAGAAGTTGAAGGAAGTTCTGGGCTTGGCATCACAGTCGAGGAAACAGAATCGGAGAAACCCGGATCCTGCAGCAGCTTACCCGGAAGTTAGAGAAGTGGAAGAAGGCGGTGATCAGGAGGACTGTGGATCAGACTGGGAAATCATCTGAGCAGTAGGAATTCTTCTGAAACTTTTTAAAGTTTTCTGGTGGTCGAGAAGAAATGAATAATGAGTGTAGAGAGAAAGAGAGGGAGTTTAAGATGGAGTAATTTTGCGGCAGACCAAAACAAACTGATTACTTTCTCTGTAATGCGGAGGAGATGGCTTTACAGTTCTTCTGAACTCTCCCACCAGCATGTCGTTTGTTACTCCACTGGCGCTGGCAAGGGTTGTAGCCATTGATTTATGCAGACTGAGAGTTTCGATTGATACACGTATGATCGGTCGACGTTTCAACTTTTTTCACGTTTGTCACTAGAAAAAGTTTCATTTTTTACAAGTTACAAACTTGAAATATTTTTTTCTTCATTGGTCACTGGCCGAGTGGCCGCTTAATTTAGAGAAAGCAAGAATTTTTTTATTACTTGATGTAGCTACATTTTCATTTTGAAGATATGTAGCTACATTTGTCTTGTTAATTGAAAGGAACTTTGATCATACCAAGTTCTGTTTCGATTGACGAGGCATACAACTGACACGATATGCTTTCATATGTGATTTGCACTATCTGAACTATTATTAAGTTAAATTCAAATTATCAAAGAAGTCTATAAGCTTATGTTGCACATGACGATATGTGTCAACTTCTCATACTCATAGCGAGTTTAAAAAAGAAACCGTGTTTGTGAAAACGTACTGTACAAGCTATTCGAATGAAATTTTTTCATATGGAATCTAAACGGATAGGCGAAAATTTTCATTATCATGTATCATTCAAAAATTAAATATTAAAAATGGAACCATGAACGAACTTTGGAGTCGAAATACAATACAGGGAAATGTCAATCACCTTGTCTTCCACCCAGCAAAACAACTGGAACAAAATTAGGCAGTTTTTAGGAAGCTTTGCCGCTGTTCGGATTCGATTTTGTGCAGAGGACCCAGCGCCCCTTTGCCCGTCGGCGCTTCAAAATCGCCCTCCCACTGGTCGTTCTCATCCGTCGCCGGAAACCATGAGTCCTCGCCAGAGACTTCCTCGACCTGTTCCTCTTGGTCAGGCAAAGCGCAGCCTTCCCTGCTCTCACCACCAGGCCGCCGCCCCGCTTTCTCGATTTTTCGCCGGAGTTCAAATCCACCGTTCCCAAAGACAGACCTAAATCGAAAAATTTTCCCGACAAAATTTAGCCGGACTGCAATTCAGAGACAGAAGAGAGGAGGAGGCGCAATTGACGACGCACCTGAGAAGGAGGATGTCGGAGGTGAGAGGAAAGAGCAGTGGAGCAGGCCGGAGCGAGATGTGGAGCGGGAAGCGGCATTCATGGAGAAATTCCTCTTGACGGTGGAGAGGGAGAGAGAAGCGGAGACGGATCCACGAGGTGAGGATTGGGCGTTTCTGCACGCCGGCATCCACGCCGGCGACGACATTATGGATACAGAAGCCGCCATGGCTTGTTCGTTTCTTTCTTTGCTTCTTTGGATTTCTTTTCTTCGTGTTATCCCGATAAGGCTAGGGGGAAGTGAAGGGATGATGATGAGTGAGGAAGAAGAGAGGAGGTGAGGTGGATTTTTGTGGATCGGATTTATCCAAAACCGAAGCCCAAATGGTAGTTGGATCGGATCCACTTTTAAGTCCACGACTGCACCGGAGCCCATACGAAGAGCCCACAGGCTCAGAAACTAAACTATTGTAAAGAAAGAACTAGAGATGGTAGTAGAACCCGAACCCGCGGGTCCCCTAACCAACCTAATTCGGTCAACGCGGATAAAATTTGCTTTGACGAATTGCGGGTCGGGTTTGGGTTTAAATCCACTATATTTTTTGCGGGTTGAGTTTGGGTTTATCCATATCCAACCCGCGTATATCCTCACCCAAGTCCATACCCCCATGACTCACGGAACCCTTAACAAACTAACTATAATTTCTAAACTTATTTCTCACACGTTCAACTAATCATATTGTTTGTGGATGTTTATCTTTAATATTGAACAATTAGTATGAAAGATTTGTTAGTTAGTGTGTATGTAGTAGACAATAGTAGTGAAAACTAGTGTAATTGCATCTTTGTACATGAACTCATGGACTACTTATGAACCCGCGAATACCCAGCAGCATGGGATTGGTTTGAGCTTTACCCTGAATTTTTTTAGGATAAACCCATGAATTTGAGTTTGAGTTTGGCAATAACTCACACCAATCCGACCCATTGCCATCCCTAAAAAGAACCACTACAATCATACTGCATAGAATAGTTGTCAAGAACTGATAAAACTATCAAAGAGAGAATACAACACATAAGAATACAAGCAGGAACAGAGGGTTAATTGCAATAGATACCATTTAAGTGTCAGCTTGGTTGCAAGTTAGCCACTTAAATTTGTTTGGTTGCAACTAAAGCACTTATGCCCTATTTTTGTTGCACTGTTATCTTTTCCATCCAAAAAGTTAACGTCTAGTATGAAAACGTAATTTTCCAGCCACAAAAACATTGCCATCTCAGTCTAAATTACTGATTCACATAGTACAAAACAAACTTACCTTATATCAGAAATAAAGAAGACTAAACCAGAAACCAAAACAAAATGAAGAATTGACCTAGCTCTCTTCCACTCTTCTCCTATTTCGTAAAATTGAAATTGAAAAAGAAAAACTAAAGCTCATCCTCTTTCAAATGAAGATCAAGCCCAAGGACACCCAAACTTTCATGACCAGAATAATTGTGGCCACTGCAAAGTTCCCCTGTTTCTATACAGAAGAAACAGAGTATCAACATATACTCAATCACGACGCTGTGTAAAGGAATTTTCTATTCCAGTCGAAACCCTCATCGAGAGGAACCAGCAAGATGACTGTCTTGTTGTTGCTATTTTCATCGGTCGACAGACTGCAGCTCAGAATCTCGAATGCGCTGTAGATAATTCTAAGCAAAGGAAACGTTGCAGGAGAACGGTAGATATCAACATGAAATGGCTATCGACGAACTATTCTGGTAAGGAGTAGGGTTATCGACAACAGTGGGCGGAGAGATGAATTGGCGATTGGCGAGGTGAGATGGTTGGTTTGAGTAGGTGATATGATCAATGAGGTAGTGGGCAACAAAGATTCGACGAATGAGTTATATTTATCCGCAGTAGATGTTGGAACTTACAGAGGTAGCAAATTGAGGCTATAGTCTTTCTATCTAGGCTTGTCCGATGTACCAGATTGGTTGTGGTGGTGTTCAGGTGAGGTGGCAGTGGAGAGAAGCTTGGCGGATGAAGTGCAGGTGAGGGCGAGGAAGATTTCATAGGCGGTGGAGCGCATGTCGGAATTTCTAAGTTGGGAGATGAGCTGACTTAGTTACTAGTTAGTGAGAACTCGAGGTTGGCGGCGAATGGCCTGATGGACATTGTTAATGTAGGACTAGATTTGGAGCTTGGGGGAGAAGGAGTGGACTGCTCAGTGATTGGCCTAAGGAGACAAAAAGAGATGGAGATTGAAAGGGAATGGAGGAAAACTACGTTTTCATACTTGATGTTAACTTTTTTGATGGAAAAGATAACAGTGCAACAAAAATAAAGCTTAAGTGCTTTAGTTGCTACCAAACAAATTTAAGTGGCTAATTTGCAACCAAGCTGAAACTTATGGCATCCAGTGCAATTAACCCCAGGAACAGACTTCAGATAGTCCAAGCTAGTTCTTACCTGTTGAATTGAAATTTAGTAGTTCTTACCGGTTTGTCGTTCCTTTTAAGAGTATTAATATTTTATTGAGTATTAATATTTTATCGAGTATTTAAAATGTTTTAAGATGAACGGTCGATAAAATACCCACACCTACATTAGATTTCTATCATGATTTTAGAATACTCCGACTAATACGCGTATATATGAACATACATATTTTATGCGTTTAAAATTTTTATTTACGATAATTTCAAATCATTTCGTTTGAAGGCTCTTTACTAAAAAAGAATAAATCCCGTATAATATATGTATTTAATGAATTAAGTTTGGAATTTCAACATTATAAATATATTTATTTATTTTTAAAATATTTAATGTCATGTATTTTATTACTATTGACATACTACTAAATATATCATTAGTTTAAATATGAGATCTAATACCCGTATATTTTTTATGCATATTTGTACCGTATCTAACTAACTATACATGGCTTTAACCCATTAGCTTGAACCATGGTTGTCCCGCCGGCCGGCGTGCCACCGGTTGAACCTGCTTCAACTGATACCGGTCATAAAACCAGCGTGACATCATCGGCACGACCGGCATGATCGATATACGAATCTCTAAGTAAAATGGCCTTATTTTAGTGAGTTTAATTGATAAAAATAATTTTATTATTTATTTTATGAGTATAAAAGGTAAGGATTTTGCTACGGTGACATGACATGGACTTTTCGGTCGACCTAATCCTCAAGGAGGTCGACCGAATTGACAAATTCAGTTATGTGAGGTTCAGAGAAGCGGTCGACCGTCTACATAAAATGGTCGACCTCTTTGGTGGTATAACAGAATGAAAGGTCGACCCAAACACCTCATAGGCCGACCCTTGTGCACCTATTAGGTCGACCTCATTAGTAAGAGGTCGACCGCATGCACGCCGTATCCGTATTGGATAAGGATTCCAACAGCAGAAAGGTTCCACAATTGGACAGAAAAATGAATTGGGTCGACCCATTCACGTCCTAAATTTCTATAAATACGAAGAAAATGTGGATGAGGGAGAGAGGGGACATGAGTAGGAACTCGAAGATTTTAGATTGTGTGTTTTTATTGTTAAGTGGTCAAAACGATTGTTGATTGTTATTTTATTGTTTTAGTTTTTTTTTATGTGTGAACAATTATGATTTCTGTTTTATTGTATTTCTTGTTAGTTTGTTTAGTTGTTATGCTATGAATTGATGAGTCCTTGTTATCATTGTTTATGATTATTTATGATGGTTTGAAACATAATTTATACGAGCAAAAGAACCACACAAATCGACATACATAAGCAAAAGAGACACGGGGGCATAGGTTGACTTTCTTGTATTCGGTCGACCTCGAAACCAACACTTGATCTTCATTTTACGTCAAATGATTGGACACATTGATAGAACACTTATCTTCTATCTGGTCGACCTCTTTCCTTATCTGGTCGACCATTTTGTTAATGACTGCCATCAAGTGGTCGACCTATATACCTTTACGGTCGACCTTGTTGTTTCTAACGCCAACGAAATGGCCGACCGAGGTTTTATTCTGGTCGGCCAAAAATAACAACTTAAACTAAGTGCGGTCGACCAGGTGGTCTTTGAGGTCGACCGCAATGTTTTCTCATGCTGCCCAAATTAGTCAATTCAGCCGACCAACTTCAGGATTAGGTCGACCGAAAAATCCATGTCACGGTGACATGCATGTCATAGTAGGCATACCCAAAAGGTAAATATTGATGTTATTTGTTGGATTCAAGTATAAATGTTTAAATATTGACGTTAAATGTCATGTTTAAATATGAGTATTTATAATTTTATTTGTAATATTGACCGGCATGAACCAGCACAAACCTGTATGTGCCACCGGTCGAACCATTCCACTTGCTAAACCGGCACACTGGCATAAACCGGTTTGACAACCTTGGCTTGAACACAATGTCACATGCATCAATTCTTTTTATCAAAAAACTAAAATGACTCAAGCAACAGCTCAAAGAGTGTGACAGTAGTTCACTTTGTCGTCTAAAAACAAATGTTCAAAAAGGTTAATCCGTTGGTTCTGATTAATCACAAAACCCCTATGAACACCCAAACCAAAATGCCTCATCCCTGACCCTCAGTATACCCAGCCCACAATATCACACAACTGTCTTTGCTACACAGTTCCCTACAACAAAGAGGCCTAAACCCAATAGGCTAATCTTGATTACCTGAGCAGGGCCAATATGAAGCGGGAATCAATTGAGGAGCTCAGAATCCCACAAACAAACAGGTGTGCTTTCTGGTCTTCCTCCGTTTCTCACTTTTGCGATTCTCTTGCTCATCTTCTTTCCTCCCATCTCCAAGTACTGCTTTGTACCTTGACCGGTCCAATGTTCATGCGTTGGTGTTCCTTTGTGCAAAAATCAGTTGCTTTGAAGTTGAGATTGAACCCAGGAACGGTTGGTTTACACGGCTCAAGGACAAGTATGACGAATTATGGTGGAGGAATTTGGGTATGTTTGATCTCTTTTCTAGCTCCGGAATCCGACAGTGATGGATTTGCTTTGGATTCGTGGTTGAATAGAATATTTGGCTCTCTCCTTGGAAAAGAACGAGCCAAGGTTCATCATCGTCTCCGGTGGATGAACGCGGTGGACGGCCTTCGGCTCCGATCATGATTTGATTTCTCTGTGAAAAAATGCTGTGAAAGAAATTAAAGCTATGGTATAGAAGAGTGTATTTATAATAACTGCACTGCCCCTATCCGTTTCTCACTCGTGTTGTTTATTTTGGTGGGTTCTTTTCCTTTTTCCTAGTTGAATCTGGATTCCAGCGGGCCGGAGATGGGCCATGAACATAAATCCTGATTGGGCCTGAATGGTTTTTGTCTGATTCAAGTCCAGCCCAAATATGGATCAAAACTGCGGCTTTACTATCCTTAATAAGAAAAATTAGGGGTAAATTGCAAGTTTGGTCACTCGAATTACTTAAAAATTTCACGTTTGCCACTAAAACTAATTTATTCTATCCGTAGTCACTTAAATTAGGTTAAAAGTTCAAGTTTGGTCACTAGCCGTTAGTTTCCGTTAACTTTTGCTGATGTGGCGGTAAATTCTAACCGTTGACCGTTAAATGAATGACGTGGCCATTTAAAAAATAAAAATTTAATTATTTTTATTTTCCACCTATTTATAATAAATTAAAAAAAAATCCTCATTACTTTAATTATTATTGTGCTTGAGTTGATTCTCTTGTCGTTGTCGGTTTTTTCCTCATCGCCCGACCACGACCATTTGGGCAGCCCGGTCGGGGCATCACTGCTATGCTCCGAACCCGATTCGGTTTTCATCAACGGCAGCTGCTGCTCCGGAGTGGAGGACCTCAAAGAAGTTTCAAAATCCGGTTGCCGGAAAACATTCATGTTACCGTCACTAGGCTGGACAGCGACCGGCGGGAAAAAATCCGGTTGAAGAACGAGAAGAAGCACGCTAGACAGAGGTAGAGGAATCCGTGAACTGGCTCTTTGAAGGAAACAGTGACGATGACGGCGATCACAACGATAGCAGCGACAGAGAAAAAGTTAGCTCCAAACTGAGGAATTTAGGGTTGAAGATTGAAATCGGAGAGGAGCTTGCTGAGATCGCGGCGATGGAGGTTCGATTCAAATGTTCCAAGCAGGAAATCGAATGGGCAGTAGTGAATTGCGAGAGAGGTTCTGGCGGCCCAGAAACCAGAGCAGCAGCCACCGCCGCTGCCACCCCAAGCCAATTTCGAGCTCGACGTTGACGGTGCCGCCGTTCCCCCGCGAAGGATGGTCCATTATTCTGAAGTCTGAACCTTTTAACAGAAACTTGCAAAATCAGAGGTGGGGGACTCATGGATATGGACACAGCAACCTATATTATTTCCATCACCAAAATTTTATAATAATTAGATGGAAAATAAAAATAATTATTTTTTATTATTTTTTAATGGCCACGTCACTTATTTAACGGTCAACTATAAGAGTTGACCGCCACATCAGCAAAAGTTAACGGAGACTAACGGCCAGTGACCAAATTTGAACTTTTAACCTAATTTAAGTGACTACAGATAGAATAAATCAATTTTAGTGGCAAACGTGAAATTTTTAAGTAATTCGAGTGACCAAACTTGCAATTTAGCCGAAAAATTAGGGTCATGAATGCCTTCCTAATCCTTTAGTACTATCCTCATCAGAAAAGGAATTCCCATTCCTTTACTAAATTGTGTTTTAAAACCCAATTAAATTGCAAACCTTCCACAATTTCCACAGAACCCCAACCCAGAGGTACGATGAAGGCCAAAGAAACAAACCAGCGGCGAACTGCGCCTCATCATCATCATCCAAATCGGAGGGAGCCGCCGACTCTAACACCAGAACCATGGCTGGTCTACACCCACGGGAAGAAGATCAAGTCCCAAACTTTCTACAGCTCTTCAGAACAAAGATCCCACGTCAGAAACATCCACAAAATGCGAAACAGGTTAATCTGTGCGCACTGTCAAGGCTGGCTACTGCTCGTCCATGTCAACAAAAGGGATTTCTCACTGTTCAACCCTGCGACCATGGAGGAAATCCAGCTACCCAGGATGCCTCGCATCCTCGACTCCTTCGATAGCTGTGCCGTCTCTTCTCCTCCCAACAACGACGATCGTTGCATCGTCGTGCTCATCGAATACTGTTACCTGAAAAAACAGAGTACTCTGTTCTTCTGTAAGCCAGGGGATGATGATGATAAGGGTTGGCGGAAACAGAGAGTGGAGCCAGAGGAAGGTCAATGTGGGAACCCTCACGCAGCCCATCTCTCCTACTTTCAAAACGTGGCCAGCTTCAATGGCGATCTATACGTTGTCGCGGCTTGCTGCGAAAGCCTCCTCAAGGTCCAATTCGTCATCGATGACAATGGCGACGCCTCGATCAAGTTACTTGATCTGAAGTTGAGGAGACCGAACCCGAATTGGGCCGATCCTTACTTCGTCAGGACCACTTTGATGAGCTCTTCCTTCCTGATCCAGGCCTCCCCTACCGAACTGATGACGGTGGAGCTGTACTACGGCGACCAAAGAGACTCCGCCGAATACAGCTACGAGATTTGTCGCGACGAGGGCTTCGAGGCTGGCGTAAGGAGAATCGAGCTGTACAGGGCCAATTTCGAGGAAGAAAAATGGGAGCACGTGGAGGAATTGCCCAAGGACACTGCAATTTTCTTGGGCTTCCATCAAGATAACGTGGTCTCGTACGAAGTTCCGAGCAGACAGGACTTGGATCGGGGAGGAGGAGTCGTTCGCGGGAACACGGTGTACTTCGCGCCGACGGGAGACGGGTACATTTATGCGTATGATGTTGAAGAGAGAAGTATAAGTGTGTGGTTAGCCAGTGCTAAGGGATATGATGATTCTGAACCGATTTGGATGGTGCCCCATGGATGGCCGTCTTCAACAACTAATCCTCGTCGACGGGAAGTCGTGGCAGCTAATTCTAGAGGTCGTGGTGGATCCGAGAGCTTCCCTGATGAGATTGGTAGTGATGATGAGCAGATTCTGTTGACGGACAACAGCAGTAGCAGTAGTACTACTGATGATGGACGACATTGGTCGCACGACATTCCAGTCGAGCTTCTTTCTGATGTACAATCTCGTTTGTTTGGAGCGGATCGTTGCATTTTTCGCCTCGCTTGCAGGACATGGAACTCTGTATTCTCCGGCTCGATCTCTGCATCGTCGAATGTTTCATTCGTGAAGGCGACGGACTCATTTCCAATCCTCATACATATAGGGAAAGATGCAGAGCTAGCCAATCTGTTCAACCCGATAAGCAATGTGACCGGCATCTTGTCTTTGGATGGTTCGAGCCTGGCAGGCGCTGTCATTCACTGCTGCAAGCACGGATGGTTGCTCATGTCGCGAGGAGGTCGGGCTGGTAAGCTATTCTTTTTCAATCCTTTTACCAAAGAAAGGATCGATCTTCCTAGCATGTTATACGAGTTTGAAGGGATCGCCTTTTCGTCTCCTCCAACATCCTTCGACTGTGTGGTTGTGGGCTACACAGTTTCGCAGCAGTATGTGACCATAGCCTGCATTCATCGAGGGGAACATGAGTGGACTCGACGTGAACTAATGAACGATGGTTTGGTATTCAGGAGCTCTTTCAGCACACCAGTTTACCACAAAGGGAGACTATACATTTTGGGGAAGGATGGACGTCTTTGCATTCATAACTTTAAACAACGTAGAACCAAATTTACAAATTCTGTTGCTAGACCTCCAACACTGATACGAAGAAGCTATTTGTTTGAGCACAACGGGAAGCTTCTGTCCGTGCTTATACATCACATGGGGAAACATGTGAAATTATACAAGCTCAATCGAGAAACTATGGCTTGGAACGAGCTGTATGATCTCGAAGATCGGGTGCTGTTTTTGAGCTCCGCGTCTACATTATTAACATCAAACGATGAAGAGACGATTTCCGGCTTGGGAAACAAGATGTTTTTGGACAGATTTAAGGAGAAAGATGGTGTGTTCTACTCTCTAGCAACAAGAAAGTTTCACACTCTCTGGAGCGGATATAACAGCGTTGACTGGTGCAGCACCAAAGAATATATGAACCGTGCATGGATTGAACCAAACTTCGAAATGCACACCAAAGAAGAGCTTCAATGGTTTGATCTGGCAGGTCATGTATACATGTAGCAATATCTTTCTTATTTAATTTGGATTTATCTAAATATAGCAGTATAAATATGTTCATAAAGTTGATGAAGCTAGAAATAGGAATGAGAAATACCCACAACTTCTTACCGAGGATGCCAGTAGCTTCACCATCTTCTTCAACCTCATCCTCGCCTTCTTCATGGCCAGTTCACCTTCTTCCTCCTCTGAAGCACCCTAAAGTTGATGAAGACTGAAGAGCAAATGCAGCCACTTTGCTCTGTCTCTTCCTGAAACAGAAGAGAAAGGCATTCTGCACAACCACTTACGAGTGGAAACAAATAGTACCGTGCAGCCTTCAACAGAAATCATGAGAATGAGTCCAAACCTCTAAAATATCAGTAAATTTTAGCCACACTAAAATCGTTTGTTAACCCCTACTACCATAACGAGTTGATTAGAACAAGTTGTAGTATTTTAAGAATATCCGCTTCTTAAAATGTTTGCGCCTTTGTGCACAAGCAGGACACCAGGTTCAGCTCTACAAATTGGGGACATGGCTAGGCAAAAGCCCTCATTTGGCCCGCTTTGCTGTAACAATGATCATGTTGACCAGAAAATTGTAGAACACGGTCATAACAAATTTGTAGGGAAGTCATAGAAACAACTTATATGTCTGAAGAAACAGAAGGATTATGGATGTGCTACATAAGAGATCTCAAGTTTATGCCAGCATCCAATACACACATTATAGAAAATTATGCAAATGTTACTTCTACAAGTATCAATACCCACCGCTAACATGTTGAACAGGACTCCGTTCTTGAATGCAAATTCCTAGTTTCTTTTTAAATCAGATGAAAGCTCTGTGAAAGTATCAGACAACTAACATGCTTTGCCTTCAGCTCTTCATTAAAGGTTATAGTTCGCTTGAGTTCACCTTTCTGCAGGAGTTCAGATTCTAGTCTCATTCTGCAAAGCTTGTTCTCCAACACAAGATACTTCGTTTATTCTTAGCTGCAGAAGCATGCTCCTTCTCAACATGTGCGGTTCTTATCCTGAGCAGCCTGCAGTATCACAATTAGCATTTGTCAAAACCTGAAACCAAATTAATTCACCGGCAAGGCTAGAGCGCAACAAATGTAATCCTGCCAGACACCAGTCCAGATTCATGTGAGCGAACTCTCATTTAAACCATAGACTGAATGTCTAATGACACACTGAAACTAACATCCACGTCGTCCATTCCATGAAATAGTGTAACAGATGTACAACAATATGAAATCGTGTAACATCAAACTAACAGAACCATAATAATTTGATAGATTCCTTACAGTCTGGCACGGCTTTTTTATGGCAGGATACAAAAGAGACACACCTAACAGCAAAAAATGAAGTATATCAGCTAATGGGAATGATTACTGAAAGGATACCCATGAACAAAGGCAACACCTTTCTATTGATCATAGAGCGTGTTGAATAAGTGTGGGATGGATGGGGATAGCAAGTTCTTATTGTACTGCTCCGGTGCATTGATCTGCTGGCCAATTGGATCCTTGTACTTGTTTTCTTTTGCAGAGTCATGGAGACATACAACAATACTTCTCAATCTTATTCAGAACATTTAGCAGCTCGTGAGGCCCAAATTTGGTGGCAGGTCTTGCTGCAAGATTGAGGAACTGTTGTTGTTCAGTAAGTTAAGTTTTCTATGAAACTGAATTTAGATGGTTACTCTGTGACCCAGAGACTTGTCTCTCATGTTATGCAAAATAAAAGTAGGATTCAGTTGATTCAAATAAAGCAGGCTTTCTATGCGAAGATAACACATAATAATAATGCTGAAAGGAAGTGAAAGTCCACATAAATCTGCATCACAAACCCAGACAACTATAAGGTCTCTAAATCCACAATCACCATGAGCATACTTGCACATTTCTCTTCTCAGTTGGCCCCTCTCTCTTCCTGTAACCTTCCCTCTTTTTCATTTTGGAGACCTAGTTGCTGGTAGTGCATTAACTTGATAAAAGAAGCCACACAACTCAGACTGAGGATGCAAAGGCTAACATAACAGCAACATCAACATCCAATTGAATAAGTTATGGGTAGCAAAGACAGTTGTGTGATATTGTGGGCTGGGTATACTGAGGGTCAGGGATGAGGCATTTTGGTTTGGGTGTTCATAGGGGTTTTGTGATTAATCATAACCAACGGATTAAGCTTTTTTGAACATTTGTTTTTAGACGACAAAGTGAACTATTGTCACATTCTTTGAGCTGTTGCTTGAGTCACTTTAGTTTTTTGATAAAAAGAATTGATGCATGTGACATTGTGATTAATCAGAACCAACGGATTAAGCTTTTTGAACATTTGTTTTTAGACGACAAAGTGAACTACTGTCACACTCTTTGAGCTGTTGTTTGAGTCACTTTAGTTTTTTGATAAAAAGAATTGCAAAAAAAGTGTTCAAGCCAAGGTTGGGGTTCTGTGGAAATTGTGGAAGGTTTGCAATTTAATTGGGTTTTAAAACACCATTTAGTAAGGGAATGGGAATTCCTTTTCCGATAAGGATTAGGAATTCATCACCCTAAATTTTCCGATAAGGATAGTAAAGCTGCAGTTTTGATCCATGTTTGGGCTGGACTTGAATCAGACAAAAACCATTCCGGCCCAATACAGGATTTATGTTCAAGGCCCATATCCGGCCGGCTGGAATCCAGATTCAACTAGGAAAAGGGAAAGAACCCGCCAAAACAACACAAAGAGTCTTTTTCTCCTTATCAAGTGAGAAACGGATAGGGGCAGTGCAGTTATTATAAATACACTCTTCTATACCATAGCTTTCTTTCACAGCATTTTTGACAGAGAAATCAAATCATGATGATCGGAGCAGAAGGCCGGCCACCGCGTTCATCCACCGGAGATGACGATGCACCTTGGCTCGTTCTTTTCCAAGGCGAGAGCCAAATCTTCTACTCAACCTCAAACCCCAAGCAAATCCACCACTGTCGAATTCCGCAGTTAGTCGACAGTCGCATTATCGGCCACTCTCAATACGGCTGGTTGATCCTCCGAAGCGAAATTGACGACATGACGACAGGCTTCTCCTTGCTGAACCCCATCACTCTCGAAACAATCCAGCTCCCCGCGCTGAACAACTCGACCGCCAGGTTCGCGAGAGGGGAGCTTACTTCCCCACCAAGCAATCCCAACTGCAGGGTCGTCATTGCCGCTAAGGAAACGCCACAACTCGCGCACTGCAAGCCAGGAGCGGACGAGGCATGGTCCGTGCACACTTTTTCCGAAGAGTTCGGCGCTTTCTACCGTCTCGTGGCCTCCAACCAGAGCTTATACGCCCTCACAACGAACAGCCAACTGGTCGAGATTACAAAGGATAGCTCCAACAACAGCCTCCTAGCTAGCTTGCTGGTCCAGATCTGGCTGTCGCAGATGGTTCCGCGTTATATCGCGAGATTAGGACACTGGACCTTGGTTGAATCCGGCGGGGAGCTGCTCTGTATCATCCTCTGCCATCGCAAACACAGCGATCGCGAGCTGGATTTGGTGCTGGTTCATAAATTGGACTGGTCGTCCATGAGCTGGGTACGAGTTAACACATTGGATAGGCGAGCAATCTTCATTAGTCCCAACAACTATTCATTCTCCTGCAACAACAACAACGGGTTAAAACCCAACTGCATTTACTTCTTCCAGAACGATAATTACCAGAAATTATTCGCTTTCGATGTCGAGAGAGGGCAGTCGTCACAGTGTTCTTTGCTTCCTCCTTCACAAGCAGTACCTGTAGGAAACCATTAATGCATTGATGGTTTCCAACTGTAAACCAACTTCAGCCTTCATCAATGGTCTGCCTCCATCAAGCTTGCAGTCACCCATATTGTCCAGCAGCCACCCATGACTCCCATGTGCTCCAGTTGCACTCCAGACAACAGCTGCCATCGTCCATACCTCACCCATGCTCTGCTCCAACAACTAAACAGCAGCTCTTATCTTTACAGCTTTTATGGTTGTTCTTCTTCCTTGTATAAATAGAGTAGAAACCCATTGTAACAATTAAGCTTTCCATCAATAAAATCATCATACACAAATTCATCATGGTATCAGAGCTGGATTCAGAATCCAGTGTAGGAAAGCCTAAGAAGAAGAAAAGGAAGAAACGATTTCGTTGCTGAGTTTCTAAATCTTTCTTTCCAAACCTTCTGTATATATTCCTCCGTTTGCAGAATACAAAAGTTCAAGCCATGAGTGAGCATTCTCCAGCTGCTCCTCGTCAATCATGCTTCCGCCATCAGTCCATTCATTTCCAATCACGAGCAGGCCTTTTCCAGGCTGCTCCTCTTCCACCTCATCCTTCCACCATCACAAATAAACAGCATCTCCGGCCCATCTCAGTAAGGGCCATCTCTCATCTAGGCGAAGTCCTTTCCGCCTTCAATCAATCTCTCTGGCAGATCAATTCCCGGGGAGAATCTCAGTCCGGCGAACTCTCTCGACCACTACCGCGATCGCCATCAGTTCCGGCGGCACTCCGGATGCAGTTCTCACCGCCTTCGTCATCAGCGCCCTCGGCGCCATCAATCTCCGCCGCATCAGAGTCAGCGGCCCAAACCAGAGACGTCATCGATTCCTTCGTCTCGCCGTCTCAGCCACCGTAAACCGCCGCTGCCGTCGGCGCCAAAACCAGTCCACCGCTGCATATCGATTGCCATCGCCATCGATCTGCCTTCGTCATCAGTTGCCAACCACCATCTCCACCGGTTCAGTCGTACCGTGGCCCAGTACCCGCCACAACCGCCGACTACCGTCGATTCCTTGTCGCCACTTGCCGCCGCCGATCTGTGCATGCCGGCCGTTTTGATTGGTGGAGGTGCGGAGAGAGGATCGAAAGGAGATTAAAAAAAAAAAAAAAAAAAAATTGGGAAGAGAGAAAGAAACAGAGGAGGTACGGCGGCCACCAAGAGGCGAGAAAGAAGGTTTCCCAAACCTACTAAGGCCATCTCCTTCATTCACCTTGGGCCTCTTCATTAACCAAGGCCCATTCTCAAAACCCAGCAGGATGGGTTAAAAAAAAAAAAAAAAAAAATCGGCCCATTTGTTTGAGCTTTTCATGACCAACCAGCAGCTCATAATCCAGCTACGGCCATGCACACATAGCAATGTGTTTTCCATCACAAGAATCCTCTTCGGTGATCGACAGGGGTCACAAATCATATTTCTCACTGGTTCTTAATGTCCCATTTTCAGGTTTTGGCAAATTCATTTGCAGGCAAGAAAGCAAATCATCACCAAACAACGTTTAAACAGTGAAGATTCTCACGACCCAAGAGTTGGTCGTCCCTCCACTAGCCATTGTTGGAGTGAATGACAGTTTCTACAGGCAAAGAAAGTCTAGCCACTGTGCGAGGTTTCTCCGATCAGGTTGTTACCTTGACGTTTGAAGATTGTATGATCCAAGAAGAGATCGACTCCTCGGCGTCCAAAAGGCAAACACAACCCAAGAAAAGATCGGCCCCTCAGCTTCACGAGGCACTCTCGATCAGATCGTTCCCATGACGTTTTTAGACGGTTGTACGATCCAAGAAGAGATCGTCCCCTCGGCGCTTCAAATGGAAGAAACGATCCTAGAAAAGATCGACCCCTCGGTGTTTATTATTGGGCTAAGACCAATTATTCATCACCTTTCAACCTGGGCATTCACGATGTTCATGCTCCAGCTTGAGGGGGAGAATAGGGAATCAACACAGACTAGATGATCGATTCAATCATCTGGTCGACCAGTTCATTCATCAGATCGATCACAATGTTAAAATGTGTCGATCTATCTATCAAATTACACGGAGAGCCTCAGTCAGCAGTCTCCAACATCAACCTCGTCCAAGATTTCCAAAAGGCAGTTACGACCAATCATGGTCGTCCCTTCTTCGTTCTACACATTTCCTTTTCAAGCTTGACATTCTCTACATCCATGTCTTCGCTTGAGGGGGAGTGTAGGAAACCATTAATGCATTGATGGTTTCCAACTGTAAACCAACTTCAGCCTTCATCAATGGTCTGCCTCCATCAAGCTTGCAGTCACCCATATTGTCCAGCAGCCACCCATGACTCCCATGTGCTCCAGTTGCACTCCAGACAACAGCTGCCATCGTCCATACCTCACCCATGCTCTGCTCCAACAACTAAACAGCAGCTCTTATCTTTACAGCTTTTATGGTTGTTCTTCTTCCTTGTATAAATAGAGTAGAAACCCATTGTAACAATTAAGCTTTCCATCAATAAAATCATCATACACAAATTCATCAGTACCAGAGCTCATCGAGGACGACGAACCACCACACCATGTTGCCTTCATCAATTACCCAACAGCTCACCAAACCACTCCTCGTTGCAGGTAATTATGCTTTTACTCGTCTGGCAAAATCCTGCATCCAAATTACTCGTCTTACATGAACAGATTATTGCCCTCTAATCAAACCTATCAACCAAACACACTAACTTTGACAATAAAGGCACTATGTCAACGAAATAGACAGAGGGTGGAAATCCATGTATTTCATAATCTCGTTACTATACACCATGATACCCCGCTACCATATGATTTCAAACGTTATTATTATCATGCTTCTCTCTTTCGGGAGTAAGATTTCAATACAGTTTAATTTCAGACAGTAACAATTTGTTATTACCCTTTGACTGAACTGCAGCTTAGCTGGTGTAGAGACTAGTGAAAAAGACCCAGAGACGGTACAAGTTGAAGTGCATAATGTAACAGATAGGCTGGAGGAGGAGGAGGAGGAGGAGGAGGAGGAGGAGGAGGCATTGATATGGAAGCTTCCTAGGGAGATGTTCACCAACATAGCAAATAAATTGATCGACTGTAGAAGCTTCCGCACTTGCTGCAGGACACTTAAATCAGTCATACCTCTCCAGCCTCCACCGTATCCATGGTTCTTCTACTTCAAGCACTACAAAGGGAACCTCAATTTCCAGGACTTGATGTACGGGCACACACACGAGAAACAAGTCGACGATTCTCTTTCGACCGCAGAAGTCGTGTTCTCGAAGAAGTGTTGGTTGGTCATGACGATGATGAAGCGCATGGCGAATCCGGAGTTGGATCCGGATCTGCCAGTGAGACTCCACATTACATTCTACAACCCTTTTACGAAGGAAGCTCGCACTGTTCCTGAGATGGTACCCTATCCTTGTTCCCCTTCGAGCTTCGGGATCTCAGGTCCGCCTACTTCTCCGGACTGTTGTGTAATTGCAATGTGGGAAGATTTACGAAAGGAGGTAGTCTTCAGTTTCATGAGATTGGAAGACCAATGTTGGCATTTTTTTCTTCGACCGCACGACCAGCACGAATTCCAAACGAGCTACCACAACACTCCGGTTTTTCTCGACGATAAGTTCTACTTCTTGGATAAGGCAAGGAGACTGGGTGTTTTTAGCTACGGTCGTGGCTATGGGAGCGAGTTCACATGGACGTGGGATGTATACGATTGGAAGCTACTAGGCAGAGTTGATGAGCCGACTGAAGATCTTTGTGATGGTCGTGGACTCGAGTTGCAATATCTGGTGGAATGTAGAGGGGAAATCCTAGCAGTATTGGTGGGCGACTTTGGCGAGTTTGTTCGAGTTTACAAATTCAATCTGGAACATAAGGGATGGTTGGGAGTAGAGGATTTGGGATCGCACATGTTGTTTGTCAGCAGGACATCGTATTTCTCCTCTGTGGAAGAGGTTGCCGGGATGGGGAACAAGATCTACTTTCCTCGAGTATCCACGAAGCAGCAGAGCATGATGTTTTATTCGCTGGATACGCGTAAATATCAAACGTTCGACTCTAAAGATCACGCCATGGAAGACTTCCAACCTACTTCTGAAGTTTGTTTGAGTGGTTGGATTGAAACTGCCTTGAGTTAAGTATTTTTTATTTCAATACATATATGTTCACTACAAATGTCAAACGGTTGCTCCAAAGTAAGAGTGAGAGTGAAACAGTTATTAATTATTGTTGAAAAATTTATTGAATTATGGGCAGGAAGTTAGCTACTATGAACAGGCAATATACTAGGCATTTGCACGTTACTCTCATTCCAAATAAGCCACAGAATTAAGGGCAGGAGGCATCTCTTGAGGAACAAGAAGCTGCATCCTTTGGTGCAGAATAAGTTTATCGAATTCGAAAAAGACAACATCCATCCATTTAAGAGGGGGAAAAATACAATTTCCTACTTCGTTTGCCTCTTTGAGCTGATCTAAAGAAGATTCAAATGAAGGATAATAGAAAGAGAGAATTTATTGGAAGAAAAGAAACACATTCGAAAGAAACCAAAGAGCAAAGAAAGGAATTAAGAATAAAAAATGCACATTCAACAAACAAACGTTTAGCAAGAATACTAATTGGTGAAGAACTAACCTCGTGCAGGTGCTGCTCAGAGCAGGCATATGGTCGCAGTGGTAGTGATGAGTGGGTTTGCAAAGCTTTCTATAATGTTATGAACAAAGGGATTTCACCACCTCCACCTGTGCAAACTAGGGATGTTAAATTAAACTCTAAAGCAAATCCTTCAGAACTCATCCGCTATGAACAATTTCATCTCTTTCTCAACTCGGACCACCATGAACATGTAAACTAGCAGGTATTTCTAGCTCAATCACAATTCATATGTTCTCAACAATTTACACCAACCCAATGAAATGAAGCTAACTACAAATTGATAGTCATCTGTGATAATTATCTTCTAATCTTAAGAAGCAGAACAATGCATAAACAGCAACAGAAGAAAGCATTTCATGGCTGCCATCTAAATTGCCAGGTTCAGTAAAAAAAAAGCAGGGTAATCGAAAAGCATCTGCTGGTGGGCTCTCCAGATGGGAGTATAAGCGGCTGTTTACATGCCTATACTAATAGTGAAGTCTCCTTGTATGGTGTTACTAATGGGACCTTGGAGCAACCAAGGGCAGAATGCGCCTGCTAGTGCTGCATCCTACGCAATTTGTTTCTAGATGAAAGTGGCAATCCTTCCCAATTTACAAACCCAAATCAACCAACACCTCAATTCTTCCCTAATGAAAGGAAATGGTAAAAATCCAAAGCAGTTGCAGGCCAATTGAATCATAAATCATATTCCATAGACTGGGCTCTAAAATCTCAACCAAAAAATTTGGGAAATAAGGGGGAACAACCGTCGTACCTCGGAGAGCCTCCAAAACGCCAACGCCAAACAGAAAAAGGATGGCGCAGAGTGAAGCTGGGCAGCGAAGGAGACGAGGCGATTCTAAAGCCTCTGCCGGCGGCATCATCGAGCTGTACACCACCGACACCGAGGTTTCCGCTGTGGTTGGCGAAGGGACTGGCAGTTGATTTCGCTGTGGTTGTCCTCCTTTGCATAGCATGACAATCTCAACTTAGTTAAGTTTATGGATCTTAGACTCGTGAGTCTCCGATCATCTCTTCTTCGTTAAGTTTGTTGCGTTTTTCTTTGGCAAAATACACTTGTATAGACAAAACTTTCACGTTTGTGCCAGTAATAGTTAAATTTGGCGAAATACTATTTATAGCCAGCTTTTGACAAATTTAGCCATTTCCGTTAGATACTTTAAGTCAACTTATTTGACCAACTCATCTGACACGTCAGCGCCAAATAAGCAACAAGTGACACGTCAATAATTTAAATTTATTTAATAATTACACATCATAAATTAATAAAAACCTATTAAAAATATATTAATAAAAAAAAACTCATTGAGAATTTAACTCCCTGTTGTGCTTCTTCTTCCCCCTGTTCTCCAGTCGACGCCGTGGACCAGCACTCTTCTTCACCATTGTGCGAACCACCGGATCTCTTGGGAGGTTCGATTACTCCTCCTCTGAGCTCTCTAAATCTCTCTCTAGATCAACAGTTTGATTCCTTATCTTCCCTCTCCTCCTCACCCTCCTCACCCTCCTCTTCTCCATTTCCTTTGCCGAGATTCGCTTCTCAGAGGTCCGATCCGACGCCCACCCAATCGTTCCCTTCAACAAATTCGGATTCACTCACTCCAGTTGCCTCCCGCTGCTGATGTCTTTCCCCTTCGCCTGATACTATGTGCCCTGCCATTCCAGGTACCACACTCGACGGCTGAGGACCTTCTCGAAGTTGGCGGCAGTGACGAGGGACCCGACAAAGTTGTTGACGACTCGAGTTGGTGATTCCAGCGAAGAAGAAATTGCTGGTAGTTGCGTTGGAGTCTGGCTTGCAGGGGAAGCCAATCAATTTCGGCTCTGCGAAAAGGGGTAATTTTAGGGATTGCTTTGATTCAATCTCGTTGACTCCCGACCAATCGACTGGAGCAATCGAAGAGATGGATGGAGCGACGGTTGGGTGGATAGGTGTTGGGGAATGGATGGTGCGGACTGCAGAGCGAATGGGTGTGGGGCAATGCATGGGTGCGGCGGAACTCAGGGAAGAAATAGAAAGGTTTCAAATTGGAGAAGAAGGGCTCGCTGTCAACCCATCCTCTGTATGTGTTTCTCGAGGAAGGAGGCGGTAGGTTCAGCTCGATCAATGGAGGAAGGAATAGCAGTGGGTACGGGGTTCGTCAGAGGAAGATCGTTGCCTTCGTCGATGGGAATCAGGGCGGGTTCGATGAAGACGATAAGGAAAGAGGAAAGAGAGAACAAAAGGTGGGTGGGTAAAAATGAGTGGTTCTGATTTTGTATCTATTTTTTTTTAATTATTGTCCACATGGAAATCTCATGCGGTCCACGTAAGCTACTCCGTTTGCCCAGTCACACTTAACGTTAACAGCGTTAAAGAATTGGATGGACTTGACTATAAGTGGTATTTCACCAAATTTGGCTATTATTTGGCACAAACGTGAAAGTTTCGGCTATGCAAGTGTATTTTGCCTTTTTCTTTTAGCAAGTCGAACAATAATGGTAACACTAACACCCCAAACCAAATTAACATTGTGTTTCCCTAATTACTGGCTATTTGGTCCAGGTTTTTTGGTTTTAGCCGAAACCGGACCGTATAACCCGGATCGAGACCGGACCGGGACCTGATAGTAAACAATCCAATTCAATTTTTGGGTTTAGATTTGAGGTAAAAACCCGTTCGGGACCGGATCGAAAACGGGATAAAGACCGGATAAGAGAGCTCAACACCCAAAACTTAAGGGTAATTTGCATTAACGGTCACAAATCTTTGCACTTAGTACAAAACTTAACCAACTCCTCACCTTTTCAGCCCTTAGGCCACTCAAATCCCCACAGGCTCAATATAAAATCAAGACCGAATTGGGACCGGACCGGGTGAAGGCCGGACTATATCCAATCCAATCTTTGGTCCTTATATTTTCAAAAAGACCGGACTGGACCGGATCAATTTGAACCAATTTAACCGGACCGGACCGTATAGCCACCCCTCATACAAATGGATTAATGATTAAACGTTCATCTTCACAGCCAGCTGTGAACAACCCCACCCCACTTACTGTAAGGAAGTGGTTAAGTACCATACATGGACCGATATAAGATCCAACATAACATTCTCCCAACAACTCGAGTTATTGGGACCAACTGGTTTATGACATGGTATCAGAGCTGGTTTGGCCAAGTGGTCGTGTGTTCGAATCTCCACGACCCCCAATATTAACAGTTGATTAAAGCACAAGGTATGGTGGGCCTGTGCAAACTTCAAACCCATGAGTTGGCTCTCTTTTGAGGGGGGCGTGTAAGGAAGTGATTAAGTACCATACATGAACCGATATAAGATCCAACATAACTTTCTCACATCCCTGATAAGGTCATAACTCATAAGTGTGCCTGGATAACATTTTATATGCTCATCACAACCCAACAATCAAACCAATATGTTCCCTTTTTCTAGTCATTTCTTTAGTAGAGTAATATGCCTTCTAATGTCCTAATTGAGCTTTGATTTCAACTAGGTAAGCTATTTTAGCATAATTAGTGGTTCAATGATTTAAATTTACTAAGACCTTAAAAGTATTGTATTTAAAGAAATATGTTTCTATTATATTAAATTAAGGGTAATGTCTATTTTTTATCCAAATCTTTTTCAGATTCTTTTATATTATCCAAATCTATCGAAATACTAAGAATTAACCAAATGTTAACTTCCACTTAGCCATTTTGTTAGTGATATTGACTTAGCAACATGATATTGACTTGGATGAGACTCAAGAAGGTTAACATTCCAAAATTTTAGTATTTTAACTAAGAAAAGAGTTACAAAATTATTAACGATAACATAAAAAAGGCTAATATTTCGATGCATTATGAAAGATTTGGATAACTAATAGAATTTTAATAGGTTTGGATAATATAAAAGAATCTGAAAAAGATTTGGATAAAAAATAGACATTACCCTTAAATTAATTGGTATATTAGTATGTCATACTTTGCACATCTTGTAAAGTAGTCCCAAATCGAGAAAACCGTCGCTAAGAACACAAGAGTCCATCCGATCTAACCTCAATATTCGCCATAGGTTGAGAAGGCGAATCATCTCCTCTAGAGCATCAGTCCTTCGAGTTGGTGACTAGACCCAGTTAAACTGCTCGGCCAAATAAGGTGCGTGGTTTAAGGGATTAGTTAGTATTCCATTCTGAGTTAATTATTATGCATGTTACTTGAGTTAATTGAGATATTTACGTTTGAGTTATGAGTTCGAGATTCATGTTCAAGTTTATGAATTATGTTCATTTATTAAGATTGCATGACATGACATCACATCACAAAGTTATGTTTTAAGACAAGACGTTACAAGTTACGTTTTAAGTATGCATAACACGATCATGTTTCATGAATACACATGTTTTAAGCAAGTCAAATTACTTTTGAAGCAAGTACGATTTTATAAGTTAAGCAAGTTATAAGTTTGGATCTCCCTTTGTGAGGATGATCCTCATTTCAAGCAAGATCATGTTTTAAACCTCACTTAGCTAGCCGCACGCGGTCATCTCATGTTGCGGTCATCTCATGTTATGATCAAGGAGGTTACGAACCCTACTCCTGGGTAATAAGATCATGTTTAAGTATGTCGATGATCGTGGTGGTGTGCTAGTTAAGTCGAGCCCGGGGTCCCCTTTTATAAGAAGCTATAAAGATATTCATTTCAAGGAAGCCATTTACAAGTCATGTAAACATTTTCATGCATGAGCATTACATGAGCATTTGCACTCATTATGTATGCTGGTTCAATTTTATGTATTATGTCAAGAATGGAATATAGGATTAGGACTGACCCTAACGCCCGCATTCAGGAATCATAGAAACACATAAGCTCGCAAATGGACTCACCGGTTCATCGTGAAGACGCATGGCTTTCACGGACTCCAGAAGAAAGAAGTTAAGTTCAGTACTTGATGGGACATGAGACTTGATGTGATTTTACGATGAACTTTTATTAAGCCAAATGTTTTAAGGTTGTTCATTTTTCAGCATTATTTAATGTGTAATGTTTTTGCTGTTGTTCAAAGCATTTTAATATTGATTATTTCTCAAGGGTATTATGTTAAAAGTAGTGACGGGGCTAGTTAGGGTGTTACAATAATTTCTTTTTTTTTATAACGAACGATAATAGCTTAGAGCGTGACTTTCTATAGCAATAAGCATTGGTTGTCAGCAATATTGGTGGGCGTGCCGCGTGGACACGAGCAGCAGCGGATCTCGTATAGGATAGAGCATTGAGCTACATTTGAAAGGAGGCGGAGATGACTGGGTCGTAACTCGTCGAGCACTAAAACAAATACCTAAAATCGAAACTTTATAAGGACTATACTAGCTCCGGATCTAGGGGAGGGTTGGATCGTGGCCCGGGGGCGTCCCCCCTGGATTCGCTGCTGCACTCGAGCTGGAGTATCTGGTGGAATGCGGAGGCGAAATCCTAGCCATATTGGTGGGCGACTTGGGCGAGTTCGTTCGAGTTTACAAATTCGATAAGAAACGTAGAGAATGGTTGGAAGTAGAGGATCTGGGATCACACGTTGTATGTCAACAGGGAGGGGAACACGATATACTTTCCTCGAGTATCCACGAAGCAGCAGAGCATGCTGTTTTATTCGCTGGATACGCGTAAATATCAAACGTTCGACCTCCGAAGATCATGCCATGGATGACTTCCAACCTTCTTCTGAAGTTCGCTTGAGTGGCTGGATTGAAACTGCCCATGTACATAAGCACATTTAATTTCTATACATACATGTCCATTACAGATCAAATGTCAAGTAGTTAGTATCATCCATGATCCTATTACAGTCGAATATATGTCAATCGTTGATCATATATCTCACACTAATACATCCCCTCAAACGAAAGTCACTAACAAGGACTTGAAGTTTGCACAGGTCCACATACCATGTGCTTAACAAATGGGGGTTACCAGGATTCGAACACAAGACCTCTCGATCATATAAGGCTCTGATACCATGTCAAGAACCAGTTGATCCCAATAACACGAGTTGTTGGAAGAGCTTCAATCGTGGATCATATATATAATGCTTAATTGTGGAGGAAATTGACATTTAGTTTTATTTGCTTAGCAACATATTACGATCTATCAACAACTCTTCCTTCCTTCTTTCGTTCCTCCTCCCCTGTTTCCAGTGCATCCAGAACACATTCTTGTTCAAGTGAACTCCATCGTCTCTAGCAATCCAGTAGAGGCTGTTGTGCTTCACCTCGTACCGTCTCCCGATATCCTCCGTCCACGCGTCGAAGCTCGCGTGGTGGCCGCCGTCGGGAGCCAAGTAGCACCAGAACAGAGTATGGGCAATAAGAACCTCCGCCTTGAAATGCCAGCTGAGCTCGCCGCCGGTGGCGAGGTAATGGACCTGCAAATCGTTGTCGGCGGACTTGCAGTGGACGAGCAGCTGCTTCCCGCCTCCCAGCTCGTTCCTCACGTGCACGTGGTGCTTTGGCCAGGTGATTGGAAATTTTGCCGCCGCCATTGGAGAGAGCAACGAGATGATGATGGTAAGTAGGAATATTAGCAACGCCATTTCGACAAGTTTTTTTGCTCGATTGAGGTATTTCATTGTCGAGATTTAAGAATTAAATAAGGGCACTGCAGGATCTCACGCACGATTCGTGACTCTCCTGGAAGTGAGGACGAAGCTAACAACTATGGCAGAGGTCAAACAGTCCACGTTACCTCTCCCTCACTGTCCAAACAAGAGTTTACTACGAAAACATACAATATCATGACTCAATTTCACAAGATATACTAGTGGGGTATGTTGTTCTTGACCTGCACAAAATTGGTCTTAACCCGAATTCAGTCTATTTCTTCGTTCAGTGGTGGATCCAGAAATTTTACATACGGGTGTCCTCTCTCTCAGAAATTAAATTTTAGAATTAAATTAAATAATTATTAAATATGAAAATATCTGACCAATAAAAGTTAAATATCGTGTTTCGTGAAATATTAAAATACATGAGTTGTTTATACTGCTCAACAAATATCGCTCGACATATCCTATTAGTCAAGGGTATCCAATAATTGGGTTCAATCGTTAAGTTTTTTGAAAATAATTCGGGATAAAAATAATATTTTACTATTATTATTTGGATCTAAAACACATAACAAATGAGTTGTAGTGTAATTGAAAATAGGTTTACAAATAATGGCAGTGTCCCAAGTTTAAATCACATAGACTACTACTTAAATATTATTTCTACCAATACGCAAACTACTACGGGAGGTTGGATAATCATTTCCCCAAATTTTAAGTGTGTCCCACTACCACTTTGCTTTTACGCAAACTACTATTGGAGGTTGAATAACCGTGTTTCCAAATTTTAGGGATTTTCCATACATGTATCCACCATTGTCTTCGTCTCAATTCGTAGCTATTGGTAACAAAGGAATTTCTCAGAGAAATTTGGAAGAAGGAAAGTTGATCCCTTCTGCCTTCTTCCTTTCATATATATATCAAAGAGTTCATTACAGGACAAAAGCCAGCTCAGGCGGTAAAAGAAACAAACAGTGAATTGGTAAAGTGAAAAAGGTCGTTGTCGACCGTTGAGGAGCCACGTGACAATCTCGTGATCATGCCTTCTGCACTGCCGTTTTTGAGGAAGAAAAATCTACCGTTTCTTCCGCTGTTACCCCCCCACAAGCTGGAGGGCAGAGGTTCAGCACTCCAAGCTTGGACAGAAGAGAAGAGAAAGGTGCTGGAGAAAGCGGCTTAGTCAAGATGTCTGCGAGCTGGTGAGGTGAAGGCACATGGAGGACTTTGATGACTTGAGCAAGGAGTTTCTCACGAACTAGATGACAGTCTAGTTCTATATGCTTCGTCCTCTCATGAAACGTTGGGTTTTCAGCAATATAGATAGCAGATTGGTTGTCACAGTACAGGGAAACAGGCTTTGGATGAGGCACCTTGAAGTCTTGGAGAAGGAACAGAAGCCATTGAATCTCACATGTCGTGTGTGCTAATGCGCGATACTCTGCCTCACAGGAAGAGCGAGAGACGGTGGATTGCTTCTTGGACTTCCAAGAGACAAGAGATTGACCCAGGAACAAGCAATAACCAGTGATTGATTTGCGCGTATCAGGGCAAGCTCCCCAATCCGAGTCACTGAAGGCTTTCAATTCGAAGGAAGACTTGGAAGAGAAGAAGATACCAGTGCCTGGACCCTTCTTGAGGTATCTGAGAATGCGATGAACAACCTTGAGGTGAATAGCAGTAGGATTGCACATGAACTGACTTACCTGCTGAGTGGCGAAGCTGATATCTGGTCGAGTTGTGTTCAAGTAAATCAGCTTCCCAACTAAGCTTCGATAAGCAGTAGCATCCACAGGTGCAGAACCATCTTCCATCTTCAGGTGCACCTTATAATCCATGGGAGTAGAGGCTGGTTTGGCTCCAAGATGGCCAGCTTCTTCAAGTATTTCCAGCGTGTATTTACGCTGTGAAAGATGGATACCCTTGGGGCTGCGAGCCACTTCCAAACCAAGAAAATATTTAAGAACCCCCAGATCCTTTATGCTGAAGGCTTGATGCAAATGAGCTTTAATCTGATTAATTTCCAGGAGATCATTGCCACCAATAATTAAATCATCAACGTAAATCAAGATGGCTGTGTAGGAAGTAGAAGAGGCCTTGGTAAACAAGGAGTGGTCTGATTTGCTCTGGGAATAACCCTGCTGTAAGAGGCTGTCGGACAGTTTGGAAAACCACTGCCGAGAGGCCTGCTTGAGGCCATAGATTGCTTTTCGAAGCTTGCAAACTGGATTGATGATGTTTGGTGGAGCTGCCACACCCTGAGGAAGCTTCATATACACGTCCTCAGTTAAATCGCCATGTAAGAAGGCGTTGTTGATGTCCAATTGATGAAGGTGCCAGTTTCAAATTGCTGCAACAGCCAAGAATAACCTAACCGTGGTCATTTTAACCACTGGAGCAAAGGTGTCCATGTAGTCTATGCCCTCACGTTGAGTGTACCCTTTTGCAACAAGGCGTGCCTTGTTCCTTTCAATAACACCTGTGGACAAGTATTTGATCTTATAGATCCACTTGTTACCAATGGGAATCACACCTGGAGGTAGAGGTACAATATCCCACGTCTTGTTTCTTTCTAAAGCTGTGACTTCATGTTGCATTGCCAAGTTCCATTCATTACACTGAGCAGCCTCACGATAAGAAGTAGGCTCTTTGTGGGCAGAAATAGTAAGAGCAAAATGACGATGAGAAGGAGTGAGTACAGCATAGGAAATGTAAGAGTTTATGGGATACCTGGAACTGGAAGTTGCTGGACACCATTTGGATGCAAATAAGTGAGGTCTGCGGTTGACCAAGAGCTCACAGTCATAGTCTTGAAGCTTAGAAGGAGGACGAATGACACGAGGAGGCAAGGAAGCAGAAGAAGAAGATGAAGAAGCGGGGGAAGAAGGGGAATTGGGGGGACTGTTTTGGATCAGAGGAGAGGGTGGTGTGTCAGGAGGAGCATCACCATCAGAGTCTGAATCCTGATCAGAAGTAGAAGGATCAGGAGAAGAAAGGGAAGCAGGGGGAATATATGGGGGATCATCATCATCCTGAACAGGAATGGAAATGGAAGGAGATATGATGGAAGAAGGAGCAGGAGAAGATGTGGTGGCAAAAGGAAAAACTGACCCGTGGAACTGAACATCCCTGGATGTGAACACCTGATGGTTATCTAAGTCATATAATTTATAACCTTTGATACCAGGTGTAAAACCAATGTGAATGCATTTTCTTGCACGAGAAGAAAATTTGGTACGAGTGCTGGGATAGGTGGATGCAAAGGTAAGACAGCCAAATACTTTGAGGAAGGATAGATCAGGTGGTTTGGCATGTAACAGTTCAAAAGGGGATTTGTTTGAAAGAATTTTGGAAGGGATTCGATTGATGAGGAAAACAGCATGCAAAACACAGTCTGTCCAGAATTCTATAGGGAGGTTTGCTTGGAATTTCAAAGCACGAGCAACAGACAAGATATGCTGATGCTTACGTTCCACTTTAGAGTTTTGTTCAGGTGTTTCGACACAAGAGAGCTCATGAATGATGCCTTTACTAGCAAAGAAATCTTTCATTTTGAATTCATTTCCCTGATCACTTCGGATTCGTTTAATACGAGTGGAAAACTGAGTTTCTACTAGATTGTAAAATGAAATCAAGTGAGGTCTGGTGTCTGACTTCTGTTTCATAAAGAGTACCCAGGTCATTCTACTGAAATCGTCCACAATGGTTAAAAAATAACGAAAACCATCGTGAGAAGGACTGACATTAGGACCCCAGATGTCCATGTGAATAAGATCAAAAGGTCTGCTAGAAACAGAGCTGCTAGGATGAAAGGGTAATCGTTTCTGCCGTGCAAAATGGCATACATCACATCCAGGAATATGACTCATATCTATACTAGAGTTCAATTTCTTCAGGTAGGGAAGTCTAGAAAAGGAAACATGGCCTAACCTATAATGCCAAAGATCAAAGGAAGGAGTTGTGCTTGAAGCAGCAACTTGAGAAGAATCAGGAATTGGACTTCTGTGCATTCGGTAAAGACCATGAAGGAGCTCAGCAGAACCAATCACTTGCATCCGCATGGTGTCCTGAATATAGCAAAAACCAGAAGAGAAAGTGAGACAAAGATGGTTCTGCTGAGTGAGTCTACTCACTGAAATGAGATTAAAGGTGAAATCAGGGACAAAGAGAACATTGGTGAGAACGAGAGTGGGGGAAAAGAGCACAGTCCCCATATGAGTGGCCTGAATTGATTGACCAGTAGGAAGGTTGATGTTAACCTTGGTCACAGTATGGCAGCTGGTAAACAAACTCTTGTCACAGATTATATGATCGATAGCCCCAGTGTCAAGAATCCAAAGATCATGATATAACTTAGAACCAGCTGGGACAGAGGAGAGAATGTACTTGCCTGAATCATCCATAGTTCTACTTACGAAGGCAGCAGCTGCATGAGAAGAACTGGGAGTGGAAGTGCCAGAGGTTCCAGAGGAAGAACCAGAGTTGGATTTCAGAAGATTCATAAGGCCATCATATTGTTCTTTGCTCAGTGTGACCCCATCAGCAGAGGGCTGGGTAACAGCTGAATTTGCTTGCCGTGGAGTCGAAGATAGAATGCCACGACCACCCCTGGGAGACATACCGGGAGGCCACCCATGTTTGTAGTAGCAGGTCTCCTCAGTGTGACCCTGCATCTTGCAGAATGTGCAAAAAGGACGGGAAGAACCAAATCTGCCACGGCCCCTGCCTCTGCCTCTGAAGCTCCCAGAAGAAAAATTCGAGTCTGGCCGAGCTTGTTGCTGATCTGGAAAACGAATACCCATGGATTGGAGAGCTAAAGCAATAGATTCAACAACACGACCCTTATCCGGATTGGTGCCATAGCATTGTCTTTCATATTGAACCATCCGATGAAAAACTTGGTCCATAGTAGGCAGAGGATCACTGAAGAGAACTTGAGATCGAGGGATGGCATAATTATCATTCAATCCACGAAGGAAGTGGACAATCAGATTCGTATCATGATAAAAGCGGACTGTGTTAATAGCAGCACAATCACGATGACTATTAGGAGCACAAACACAGGTAGGGATAGGCTGAAAATTCTTGAGCTCTTCCCAAACAGTAATGAGGTCGGTATGATAATCAGACAAAGACCTCGCACCTTGCTTCATAGTGCATAATTGTTCGTGCAACTCAATGATTCGAACAAAATCAGCTTGACCATACCTTTGCCGAAGAGTATTCCAAACTTCAGTAGCAGTTTTGAGGCTGCGAACACTCTTACCAATCAACTCATCAACCGTCTGTAGAATCCAGCTCTTCACCATCATGTTGCATCTCGTCCAGGGCCATTCGAGGTCGTCGCCAGGCTGTGCTTCAGGGATCGTACCATCGATGAAACCCAATTTGTTCTTGGATGCAAGGGCGTCAAGCATCGCCACACTCCAGTCATTGTAGTTGTTGGCAGTGAGTTTGATGGAAATCAGAACTTGCCCAGGCTGCTCAGACCCATGGAGATAGTAGGGATCTGAGAGTGGGTAATCAGACCTTACGCCGGAGCTGTTAGCCGCAGCGGCGGCGGCAGTGGGAGACGCGGTCGCGTCGGTCATGACGAAAACGGCGAAGAAGAGGAGAAAACAGAACAAAAGGAGAAGAAATCAAGAGGAAGAAGACGAAGGAAGGGTTAGGGTTTGAAAACCCTAACCTGGAGGCTCTGATACCATAACAAAGGAATTTCTCAGAGAAATTTGGAAGAAGGAAAGTTGATCCCTTCTGCCTTCTTCCTTTCATATATATATCAAAGAGTTCATTACAGGACAAAAGCCAGCTCAGGCGGTAAAAGAAACAAACAGTGAATTGGTAAAGTGAAAAAGGTCGTTGTCGACCGTTGAGGAGCCACGTGACAATCTCGTGATCATGCCTTCTGCACTGTCGTTTTTTAGGAAGAAAAAACTACCGTTTCTTCCGCTGTTAATTGGATGAACTAGCTACTACGAGAGAAGAAGAGCTAACACAATAGAAATAGAGATTTAAGATTTGATTATAGAGTTCGGTTGTTTATATCGAACGCTTGCGTTCAGCTCCTTCCCTGCAAGTTAACCGAGCAGACAAAACATGAATAAAAAGGAAAACGATTCTTAACAGGGGTGTGTTGGTTTTTATTTTCTCTCGTGATTCGATTCGTTGTAATTTATGAACTGGTATTGTATATCTTTTTCGTCCTATAGATGATTGCTCTGTTGACAAAAAAAAAGGCTTGGTAAGAACTAAGAAGCGAGAAGAAGAAAAATAGTACAACATAATTCAATCGCTTTTTTTTTATTAATCAATCACTCTAACAATTCAAAGAGGAAGAATCCAAGATACAAATACATCCAGTAGTTTAGCTATTCCGCTTAATAAGCAGGGCGACAACAACAAAACAGGACAGGACACACAACACAACACAACACAACACAACACAACAAACTAGTAGGCTGAACAGAAACAAAATGCCCATTAACAAATTATCAATCACTGGAACAATGTCCTAGACATTCCCTTCGTGGGCCCAAAACAAAACTAATAGGCAGAATGAAGCCCATCGTCGCTCGCCCGGCCCACCAGACAAGACGCATTGAATCTGGGAGTCGAAAACGGGCCTTCCAAAACGTCCTTAGCCACTATCTTGTACGCCGCTTCGGTGAAATGATGGTCGTCCCAGTTCACGTAAGTCGACGGCTCGGCACAAGCCTTCGAGCCCTCGTTCCCACAGATCAACGACTCGTTGTAGTTGTACGGACCCCCGCCGCCACAACAAGCCACCACCGCCGATCCGGTGAACCCTAAAGCCCCCCACCAAGGTTGATAGATAAGAATTCAATCCCATTCAAACCAAATTCAATATCGAATCGTTATCATTGCACACCTTACTTTCTGCTGCTATCACGAAATGTTTGAGGGTATTAATTATTCAGTCAAAAATAATTAATTCATTGTCCTTCAAGTCCCTTGTTTCCTTGTCAAAGAAGGAAAACCTGGTTGTCATCAGGGTTTTAACCCTAAGTCTCTCTATATAAGCTTAGCTACGAGATTGTCGTAAGCAAGACGTCACAATGTAGTCGTTCAATAAAACGTCAGCGAGCTCACTGTGGATTAGTCTCGATCAATCGATCGATCGAGGATACCACGTAAAAACTCTTGCGTTCTGTGTTCGTTTCAATTCTCGCGTTATCAAATTCTACACGAAAAAATCAGATCGACACTAGCGAGATTCGAAGAAGAACGTACCGAATTTTTCAGGGTGTCGATGAAATCGCGTGGCGGAGCCGTAGTAGTCCCCGTACATCAAGTTTGTGTGAGGGTAGAGCTTCTGCAGCCTAGCGATTTCCTGTTGGAGGAGGATGTTGTGGTGCTGGGCGAAATTGTTGTACCAGACGAGGCAGCCGCTCAACGGGTCGTAATCTTCCTTGTTGGGGCTCCAGAATTTGGTCAAATAGCCCGGCCAGCACCCGATCGGGAGGTTCCCGGGGATCAGAATTGTTACCGCCCCTAACTCAACCAATTGCTGCATTTTCGAAATTTTCATTTCTAAAACAGTCAAGATCACAGTAATAATAAGCGGGTGAAAATTATGGAAGAAACTTCCAGCTGGTAAATTTTTTTTTTTTTTTTAAAGGTTTTACCTTGATTGATTTGCCAATCTCGGCGACGACGTATGGCACGATGGCGATGATCTCGTCGGCGGCAACGTCTTCGAAGAACGCACGGTTGTAGTCGATTCCTCCGATCTCTCCCAGCAGAATAAGGGATTTGCTCAGGTAGTCCTTGCATTCTGCAAGATTTACCCAAATTAATACGAGACTTAATTAATTGGTTGCGTAATTGCATTGCAATCTGCCAATATCCCAAATGGGCACATCTCTTTTTCCTGTCCTGTTCTGCAATCCTTTGTTCCAGGTTGGGTACGTAAAGCCATAAATGAAGCAATCCCACAATTTTTTGATTTATTGCGCCGACGTGCCCGCCTCCATTATTGACCTAGGACGGACGGGACAAAAAAATAGCCGAGTTTTGACTTTGAAACATAATTTCTCTATCAAGGTATAAATGATACATATTTATATTCAAGTACTCATGATATAAACATCACAATGTTAGATAAATAATCTAGCAAGCAAATATATGAATATTAACAAACCAACTCATAACCTATATATCGGTTTCATCAAAAGTCGCTGGTCGAGATGATTATGTAGCAAGATTATGAGCCAACTCATGAGCTCAAAACGAGTAAAATTCATGAATTGAGTTCAAGTCAACAAACCACCAAGGCAAAATGACTCATGAATCTTAGTAACCGAACACGGCATAGCTCAAACTCTACTCATTTATTAGCGAACCAAATATCAAACCAGATTATTTCAAATTGAACACAAAACCACTCGCTCATTTGTCTCGTAGAGACAACTAGAATATCGTTATAATAATAATAAAAAAAAAATCCCCGCTGAAAGGAAGACGGATCTGGGCACAAAGAACAAGAAACATTGATTGGGGAAGAAAAAGAAGAAGAGGTAGTCAGATAGTAATTTTACCAGAGGGAGATGAACAGATGGTGGCCAGCAATTCCTTGAATCGATCGATCTCCACCTGCAAAGACAGATTGGTGTGCGTGTTGTAGATCCCCTTCTCCGCCAGGAAATGGAAGTCCAGCGCCGTCGCCCCTCCTTCCGCGAAGTTGGCCCCCAACGGGAAATCGTTGCTGTGAAGCTTCCCCGGGTACGGCGTCAGTAACGGAAGCCCCAATTGCTCCGCTGAGAAAACCAAAATTACAAAAAAAAAAAGATCTAATTAAGCGAGGATTGGCGGACGAATCGGAAGAGTGCGATGAGATACGGTACCGATGAAGTCGACGATGAGGCGGCCGTCGGAGCAGCGGCCGGTCTGGCGGCCGAAGTAGGTCTCGCCGTACGGAGGGAAGCAGCAGTGGCCGAGGACGCCGTCGGGAGCCAGGAGAAGCTGGTTGCCGGTGTCGGTTATAGAGTCGCCGAAGCTGAACAGCGATGTGAAGCAGGGCGAGCGGCCGGCGGGGGATGCGGCGGCGGCGGCGGATGAGAGGGAAAAGAGGAGGAGGAGGAGGAGGAGGACCGGCAGAGTAGAGGCTGCCATGGCCATAGCAGCTCGGAAAAGTAAAGGCAGGAATGGATGATTGGCTCGTTTTAATTGGCAGAGTGAGTGAAGTGTAAAGCATTATTATTGGGGATCTTATAGTGAGAAAGCAAAAGTACAAGGACTGGGTAGGTGGGGAATAGTTCATGGTTCACAGTTCAGGACAGCAACTTGGAGTAATAATAAGTTAAAAATTGGGGAGCAGCCAATGCCATGGCTTATTTTAATTAAAAAAATTAATAATCTCAATTATTAAATAAATAAACAAAAACGTGTACATCAAAATATATTCAGTCAGGGAAAATCTCCATATCCCTGTTAATTCTGAACCATTCACTCATCACTCCCCTTTTGTACTAGGTAGGGACCCGGCCAGTTGGCCGGTTGTGTTTCATTAATCGCGTAAACAACGATAATAATTGTTCAAATGAATATTGACATTTTTTGGGTAGCCACTCCATGATGTATCCCAAAATTCGTTTGTTCAATTTTTCTATCTCATATTTTGGGAGAGTTACAAAACTTTGAATGCGGATCACAAAATTCGACCTCTTGCATCTTGATAGAAGAATTTACAATATTTATCCAAAATCATGTACTCACTATTTAGATGTTCCGCATGCAAAATCTTTATGAGAGTTTTATCCACTACTTCAATGTTATGTTTATCGGCTCCATGAGCTTCCTCCCAAATAATTAAAGAGACATTCTTAATCCACTACGCAAACTCGCTTTCTTATTCAATATGGCATGTCGATTATGAATCACAGTCTATTGGAATATAAAATGGAGAATGAGTTGTTTGACCTCCAACCATTAACAAAACTCCAATACTGAAAGTAGCAATGCACAATTCTATTTTTCTTTTATGCCTTAGTTTCAAACAAATAACATTCAAAAGAAATATGTTTCGTATACTTGCAAAGCCATCAAGTAAAAGTTAGTTTCATTGTCATCTACAATTTGGAAAACAATAATAATTGTTCGAATGAAGATTACTTTTTGGGTAGCCACTCCATAATTTATCTCCAATATTCATTTGTTGAATTCTTCAATCTCATATTTTGAGAGAGTAGTAAACCTTTGAACGTGGACCACAAAATACGACCTCATGAAAGAAGAATTTACAATATATATCCAAGTTTTCCTAGTAATTACTGTTAATGTTGTTCAAAAATCTCCGGCAAACACAACAAAAATTCACCAAAGATCATGTACCCACTATTTTGTTTTTTCACATGCAAAAATGTCTATGAGATATTAAGTTTATTAGCCACATGATCTTCATCCGAAATAATAAGAGAGCCCTTCCGAATCACTATGCTAACTCGCTTTCTTGTTCAATTACCATGTCGATTTGAATCACAATTTATTGAAGTATAAACTTGAGAATGAGTTGTTTGACCTCCAACCAATAGCAAACCTCCAATATTGAAAGAAGCCGTGCACAACACTACTTTCTTAGCACCACTAATATAATTTTTTAGCAGGTTTGTTTTATATGGTTTGGTTTCATGCACTGCTAACCAATCCAAATTATTAACCAATTAGATAATTAGTCATATATCAAATGTATTATATATTGCATACATAATACTCTGCATATGCATAATCACTCAATAGTCAAACGTTCTTTCCATTTAGACCCATAAAAATAAAGCTCATTCATATGTTATACTTGATTCTTGTAGAGTGTAGACACCAACATATACATGATATCCTAATTTAGATCAAGCTCATATATTATATTGGAAACCTATGATAATTGATAAGGCTCTAAGCGTAATTCACATAGACACACCCATTTCATTACCTCTATACCATTGGTATATATTTTGTTAGGTGGCTACTTTTGTGTGTAAGATAATCGCATTAGTTTGTGTGTATTTATGTAAAAGGGTAACTTTGAGTTGATTGTTATTTTTTATTCATTATATATATATATATATATGTTATTGGTTAATCAAATTAATTAATTTATCAAACAAATTAAACTTTATTTTGGTTAATTTGATTGATTTGGTGAAGATGTTGTACTTCCAAGTTAATAGAATTTAAACTTACTTGGTATAATAGTTACCATGATAACCATTTGAACAACCCTAATTGGAGTGTTGATAATTTCCGCATATATACGCTTTTGACTTATACAAAGAGCATGTTTCCTTGTTCCTAATTTTATGAATGAATGGCTTATCAGTTCTCTTCATATTATATTTATGTAAATAAATTTATGAAAATGTAAGATGGATAGTTGTAATTTTGTAACATCAAGTACCGTGAAATAGTTGGAGAGATTAGAAACAACTCATAGTTATAATCAATGTGCATGCCATCAACCAACTTATTTTTACACTCATATAGAGACTAATAAGAAACAACTACAACTTTTAATGATATAAAAATACTCCTTTCCCCTAAATCGCACTTGATATGAACACACATTAAATTGTAAGATGTATAGAATTATACAAATAAAAATATATTTACTTAAATACCATTTTAAAAAATTGAATTGCAACATATATTTTACTTTTGGATGATTCTCCACCTGCAATAATTATCAAAATAAGAGAAAGGTATTACAATGATATGGGAAAACGGAGAACTAATGCAGATTAATTGAATTATGGGCCTCAAGAAATCAAAGGGTTGAGACGGATCGTGTTTGTAAAATCGTATTGTATCGATGATCTGATCGAAAAATCTTTATATCAAAAAACAAATTAGTATATGAATTATATTGTTATAAAATAGTTGAACCACAATTATGTTAGATCGTATAAACTCACGTATAGAAACAGTAACGAACACACAGGTTTACGTGGTTTCCCCGTTCAGTGTGAACGAGACTATTCCACGGCCGAAGCTATACGATACTCTTATTCAGCTTGACTTCAGCATACAGGTTACATACGTATATATATGAGCTAGGTTTCACAACCCTAGCTAGCCTCTCGGCTGACCCCAAACCCACCAGACCCAGTACATATGTGAGGGGGAATGGGCCGAGCCCATATACATCAACAGCCTCCCCCAAATTGATGAGGATCTCTCATCATCAATTTGCGAGAAAGATAAAAGTGACGCGCAGCAGTGAACGACTTGGTTAAGAGATCGGCTATCTGATCTTCCGAAGCAACATAGAACAGCCGAAGAATGCCATCTCTAACCAAGTCACGTATGTAGTGCAAATGGACCTCGATGTGCTTCGTGCGCTCGTGGAGAACTGGATTCGTAGCAATCTGGATGGCACTGGTGTTATCAACATACAGCTGGAAAGGACTAGTGCACTCCACACCCAGATCCGCCAAGAGTCGACGAAGCCAGACAAGCTCAGAAGTGACATCAGACATAGCCCGGTACTCAGCCTTGGTAGACGATTTAGAGACCCGGTCCTGCTTTTTACAACGCCAGGAAAGAAAAGAGGCACCGAGGCGAACACACCACCCCGTAGTGGAGCGTCTAGTGTCAATGCAACCTGCATAGTCAGAATCAGAGAATGCCTGAAGCTCCAGTGTACCTGTCGATGGAAGGAAAAGACCAACCTCCCTCGTGCCCTGTAAATAACGTAATATGCGGTGAACTGCAGCCAAGTGGTCGGTACGAGGAGCAAACATGAACTGACTGACAATCTGAACTGCATAGGCAATATCCGGTCGCGTAGAAGTCAAGTAGATCAGACTACCGACCACACTCCGATAGTGCTTTCCCCCATCCGCCAACAATTCACCAGACTCACGACTGAGTTTCAAATTAAGCTCCATCGGTGTAGAAACTGAGCTGCAGGAATCAAATTGGGAGGACTCAAGAAGATCAGTAATGTACTTGGCTTGGCTAAGAAGAATCCCAACCGAAGACCGCTTGACTTCCAATCCCAGAAAATAAGAAACAAGACCAAGTTCCTTCAGGCTAAACGAGTCATGTAACCCCTGAGTGAGAGTCTCAATACCCAGAGCATCATCACCTGTCACTATCATATCATCAACGTATAAAAGAAGCACAACAAGTCCTGCAGAGGTCCGTCGAGTAAACAACGAAGGGTCATTAAGACTCTGCTCAAAGCCAAGAGATAAAATAGTATAGTGAAACTTATCAAACCATGCCCGAGGTGCTTGCTTCAACCCATAGAGAGAACGTCGGAGAAGACAGACCTGGTCGGGAGTACCATGAGGATAACCTGGTGGACGTTCCATGTAGACTGTTTCCTTGAGGTCGCCATGCAAAAAGGCGTTCTTCACGTCCATCTGGTAAAGAGGCCAACCACGAATAGATGCGACCGCAAGAAGAGAACGAACAGTAACCATTTTAGCCACCGGTGCAAAAGTCTCCTCAAAATCAATACCATATTCCTGACAGAAGCCCTGTGCCACCACCCTAGCCCGGTAACGCTCAATGGTACCGTCAGGGAGCATCTTCAGAGTATACACCCATCGAGAACCAATGACGGGAACCTCCGGAGGAGGACGATCGACCAAATCCCATGTCTCATTCGCATGAAGAGCATCAAATTCCGTGGCCATGGCAGCATCCCAATGAGGGTTCCCCCGTGCCTGCGAAAAACGAGTAGGAACTGGGACATGATCAACACTGTAAGTAACATAATCCAGCAAACGAGCAGGAGGAACGCCGAGCGTAGATCGAGTAGACCGTCAAAGAGGAGCGACGGGAGGCGAGGGTGATGGGGAATCAGATTCCTCAGCAGACGAACTCGATGATGGCGAGGGAGGGGAGTCGGGGGGCAGCGGATCAGCCGGTGGTTCGTGGGGCACATCATCATCATCATCTGCGAAGGAAGGTGGACTAAGGGACAAATCAAACAAAGGAGGGTCCGACACAGAAGGGGACGAGTGATACATCAAGTTTTCCAGGAAAACAACATGACATGCGACCCTAACCCGTCGAGCAGAAGGATCATAGCATAGGTAACCTTTGTGAATATCACTATAACCGAGGAAACAACATCGAGCAGTCTTAGAAGTGAGTTTGGTGCGTTCTGAACGTGGAAGCAGAACAAAACAGACACACCCAAAAACTCTAAGACGGGAATAGGGAGGGGGTTTCGAGTAGAGGCGGGAATACGGGCTAGTGTTGTCAAGGACAGGAGTGATCTGGTAGTTGATGAGACGAACAGCAGTGGCAACTGTCTCAGGCCAGAACGTGGACGGGACACAGGATGAGAGCAAGAGAGCACGGGTGACCTCTAGAACATGCCGGTTTTTGCGCTCAACTAACCCATTTTGCTGTGAAACCCCAGGACAGGACTTTTGAGAAAGAATACCCAAAGACTGATAGAGACGCAGTAAAGGACCCGAACTAAACTCCCCACCCGGATCAGAACGAACTACACGAACAGTCCTATCAAACTGGGTTTTGATCATGGTAAGGAATTCAGTAGCAACAGATAGTAGATCAGATTTTAAGCGAAGAAAGTAAACCCACGTGTACCTAGTTGCATGATCTATGAACAAGGCAAAGTATTTGTAGCCAAGACGAGAAGTGACAGGACTAGCTCCCCATAGATCAGTATGAATCAAGTGAAAAGGCTCAGAAATCACCGTAAGGCTAGAAGGAAAGGAAATCCGAGTAGTTTTAGCCTCAATGCAACTGGTACAAGAAAAATCCGACGAACAATGTGCTTTAACATGGGTTCCAAACAACTGTTGCTTAAACATAGTCATAAGTCTGCTAGAATTTGGGTGGCCCAACCTAGCATGCCATAGCCGAAAACTATCAAGAGGAAGACTCGAAAAAACACAAGGATCACTAGACTCAGAAACTGCAGATGATGATGGCGACAGAAGTTGATCAAGGTAGAAGATCCGCCCCTTCTTGCTGCCCCTACCGATCTCCCTCCCTGTCTTCTGATCCTGAACAACACAACCAGACGGTGCAAACGTAACACAGTAACCTTGATCAGTAAGCTGACCAACAGAAACAAGACTGGGAACAAGTTTAGGCACATGGTAAGTAGCGGGCAACTCAATGGACGAATCATGAACAGAACCCATGCCCGAGACATGCAACATCTCGCCATTCGCAACCTGAAGAGACAAATTTTCTACTGGCGAAATGTGCTGCATAGTGGTAGCTTGCCCAGTCATATGATTAAAGCAAGCAGAATCAAGTATCCATGCAAGAGACTTACCAGAAACCTGAAGACTGGCAAATGCTGAATTAACAGCCTTGTTGACCAGCTGTTCGAGAGTGGCAGGAGTCACTAGAATCCCTTCAGCACCTGGCGCTGGGTGCGTGGCGTAGGCAGGCCGAGCAGCAGCAGCAGTGTTGGAACGAGTGGAAGAGCCACTTCCACGAGCCTCCCCGTCGCGGAAACGTCCCTCCAAGCTTGGGCAATCAGGGATAATGTGCCCGGTTTTCTTGCAATAGACACAGAAGTTCTTTTTCTTATAAAACTTCTTCGTGTGACCCTTTTCCCTGCAATGAAAACACTCCACATCGGAGGAGGTAACCCGGCACTGAAAAGCAGCCCGGTACGCAGCATATGCCTCCCCCGTTTCTCCGCCAGCATCCCGATCATCAACCGCCGACCCGGAACGACGTCCAGCAGCAGCGCCTGAAGATCCATGCGGCGTCGGGGCGGGTGCAGCACTGAAGACCGCGCGATCGCCAGCTCCGGGGCGGATATCTAGGGCGGCTTGAGTCCGAAGCCGCGTTTCCTCCTGGATGAGAGCGCCCAAGACACCATCAATGCGAAGATTTTCTCGGTTCAGGAGAGAAGCCCGGATAGTCTCAAACTCCGGGTTTAATCGCATCAAGAACTGCATCAGCCTGATCTTGTCCCTCTCGGCCTTGACCTCTTGCGTGCCGGCCGTCGTAAGAAGACTTGCAATGATCATATCCTGCTCGGTCCACAGGTTGCGAGCAGCGTTGTAATATGAAGTAACATCCATACTCCCTTGAAACAGCGCCGCGAGTTCGACCTCGACCTCATATTGGCGAGACGCCCCAGCTGTCTTGTACGTATCGGCGAGATACTTCCACATAGCAGCCGCTGTCGGTAGCATACGTAAACCCAAGATAATCGATGGATCGACCGAGTTAAGAAGAAGCATCCGAACCTTGGCATCAGTGAGCACCCATTGTTTGTGCACTTCTTCGTCCGTCGCGAGAGGTCGAGCGGCCGTGCCGTCGAGCCAATCGAGAAACCCTTTGCCCTCAATCAACGTACAGAACTGAAACTCCCATATCGCATAATTCTTGGAGTTAAGACGTGCAGTAATCTGATCAGACGACATAGGCTCTGATACCATGTTAGATCGTATAAACTCACGTATAGAAACAGTAACGAACACACAGGTTTACGTGGTTTCCCCGTTCAGTGTGAACGAGACTATTCCACGGTCGAAGCTATACGATACTCTTATTCAGCTTGACTTCAGCATACAGGTTACATACGTATATATATGAGCTAGGTTTCACAACCCTAGCTAGCCTCTCGGCTGACCCCAAACCCGCCAGACCCAGTACATATGTGAGGGGGAATGGGCCGAGCCCATATACATCAACAAATTAAATTATAATTAAACTTTACCAGAACTACTTCCGATTCGATTTTACAATATTTTGATAGGAGATTTGAAGGGCTGGGCGTATTAAGACATAGTAGAGAAGAGCTGTCAGGTAAAGCACTTATCTCGGTCGCTTCATTTGCAGATCTGTGGCAGAGGTTCAATATATGTGCTATGGGTATTTTTGCTTTGTTTAATCCCCCTCCTTACTTGATATTGATGTGCAAAAAGTGAAAGAAAACGTGAAGAAAAGAACCACAAATTATACATACACAAAAGAAAGTAAGAAACACAACATTTAGGTCGGGCCCACTAATTACAGAGAAGCCCACCTGTACTCTGGATTTAGTAAATGGTAAAATGACCAAGGCATCCTTCCTTGGTTTGCGCAGAACACAGCAAAAACGGAATGAGGTAGGTGCTTAAGGAGAACCTCCTTATATTGATGGGAGGATTTCTCCAGACTCCACTCTCTAGACTCTATTATCTTTATACCCACAGTCTTGGATTCTAGTTCTTGTTTCTGAGCTATATTTTGTTACAATTGTAATGTCAATAAGATTTAAATGGCATATGATTTGCCCCTCTACTGTTGTAATTTCTCAAATTTGCTGGTTTGCTATTTTTTATATCATACATGTCCCCCTGTTATAATTATTTTTCCAGACATTGCCCTTCAGTTTCTTTGTGTTTTTTGTTTAATCTTCATTAAGTGTGACCAAACCATGGTGGGATCTACTTAAAATGACCAAAACCTTCATAACTATTTGTGTGAGAAAAATAGGATCCTGTCAATACAAAAATTTGAATCCTGAAACTCCAAATTGTATATGCATGTAATCCATTAGATTACAAGAAAATTAATGTCATAATGTTACAAAAAAAGTTTTAAAAGGCAATAGTGAATTTTACAAAACCATTTCAAAAAGTAAACATCAATGATCCATCGTGCATCACGGTGAAATCAAATTAAATTGTATAATTTTATTAATTATCTTCTTTTTATTTATATTCCCTTTTCAGGGTGGTTGTCACCAGCAATGATCATGTCCCATAGGCCATAACCTTATGCAATGCCGACTTTACTGTACCAGCGTTGCAACTTGCAACTTGTGCACTAGAACCATAATATTTGTATTTTACACGAGGTGATCAAAATTCTATACACATGCTAGAAAAGGACAGCGTGGCTTGACAACTGTTCAAATGGAACCAATGTGGCAGAAAGAGATGGTAAAGGTGTCTATATTCAAACCTTGGCAGTCGTTTTTTATTTATAACTCAGGAACCTCAACCCCACGTGCCGCTTGAGCGATAACGGGGCCTATTAAATTACTGGGGTATCAGTATACTAATCGGGGCTTTCTGCTACCAACATCGGGAATGATTCGCCTCAGATATCAAGGGTGCCGCCGGAAACACTCAAGTGACGCCATTCGAAATCGAACTCAGAACCTCTCACATCCAGAGCTCAATCGGTCCAGTGGTTTCACAACTAAGCTATGTTTCGTCATTTATGTATTATGTTGTCATCATCACTTTTAAGACTTTTCAAATATTATAGACACTAAACTTTATCGTTATTGACGAATTTCTTCGTATCAAAAATTTTCTTTCTTAATATAACGTCTCACCTAACACAACATACATAAATTAAAGGGAGTCTAATCGTAATATACAGAGAACCAGTTCAATCCTACAACTCGAGTTGGGAGGCGCCACGCCAACTCTCTTAGCTCCGGCGAACGGGTCGGCGGCATAGCCGGCGTTGAGCCCGTTGCCGCAGCTGACGAGATTGAGCTCCGGCTGTGGGAAAAGCCCACTTCCCCCATCATTCTAACGCAACTCATGGCCCAGGACGGCTGGACCACCATGGTCCACAAAGTTCCTCAGGCCCACCACCAAAACCGTTGACCAAGTCATCAACGTTGCCACGTGGCAACGACGACGGAACCAACAAACCGCCAAAAATGACGCACATTAGTTGCAAAAGAAAGAAAGCAAAAGGATCAAGACGGGGAAATAGCTTCATAAATCATCTTTGTTCATGTCAGGGGAAAAAAGAAAAGGATCAACGACGGCGGAACCAATCAAACATGTTTCTCCAATCTCTCTAATCAATCCCTCCTTGCAAAAAGAAAGAACTCTGCAACTTAAACCCCTAACAAGGAATCTTGGAGATAAACCACTCCATCACAAGAAATGGCGCCTTGATCAACCCGAGCGCAAACTCCACTATGATCGTCACGCAGAAACAGCACGGGCATATGCAACTCAACAGCAAGCTGCAGAACCCACCACACAAAAGGGCTTGAATAAAACAACCCACAAGCTCAAATGCGAAAAGATTTCTCTAATAAAGAATGCAAATCCAAGAAACAAGGCTTACCCAGGAATCCATATGATGATGCCTATAATGGAGAGGATGAGGGAGACGAAGGCAAAAGGAAGGCCTAGCAGAAAGGCAAGCGGCCTGCATTCGCAGTCATCCCCACAGCAGCAGCAGCACATCGTGATTTCTTCTTCTCTTCTACTGTCTTGACGTTTGATTTCTCTCCTGCTTCAGAGTTTTCTCTTAATGGGTAATTCTGTTGTAGGTAAGGCCAAGTATATATATAAGCACGCAACCAAACAAAGAGGAGAAATGAATTGCTACAAGACGTGTTTCTATCTATCTTCTATTTAATTATAAAGGATGTTTACTTACGCTATGACGATTCTTGATTCAGAGAAACAAACGGTTAGCCAACCAATGACCGAATTGCCGTTCCAAACTAACCTGTCCTTCTGCCTTGACCCTTTTCTCACTTTATTATCCGCAGTCTTCTTGCTGATCTGGCTGTTACTCTTGAGTTTTAGGCGTCTGTCACATTGTTTTCCTTGTCTTGGCAGGAAAAAGAAGCTCCAATTGTCACAAGGAAAGATAGCAACATGCTTTTCTTTGTAAAGTAAAGTTTCAGAAACAAGGTACAAGAAGCCAAATTACCTTTCACAATCCAAAACGACAGGAGTATGTTGTAGAACACAGCTATAAACTGACAAAATCAAGGCCGGCTCTTGGTAGAATCTCCTCATCGAAACAGATTATCTGTCCAGTATTGCCAACACATGACGATTGCTCCAAGATAAATCCACTAAGCCAAAACACCAAGAACCTCAAATATTTATACCAAACAAAAGAACTCAAATCTGGAAACCAATCGACTAGAAATTTGAAAGATAATAATCTGTGAATCGAGATTGATATGACTTCTTCCGGGGTTCGTCGTAGACCAAGAAACTCTAGTTCCAGTTTCAGCGCCAACCCAACTGGATCCAGTATGTTTCTGCACTCCCATGATCTTCATAGCCTCTCTCTCAATTGAGTTACATTATCCCATTCCCCTGCAGCAGCTAAAGTATTGGAGAATGAGACATACTACCCTTAAAACAGATCTTCATAAGCTGACAATGGATCTATGTACCGATCTCACATTCTGTGAGAAGAGAGCAATCCCCAATAAAACTAGCAAATGTCGCAATGTTGGGCAGGAAACCAAAGCCCTTCTGCTTATCAATGTAGAACTCCAGTGCTTTCAGAGCTGTTGCCACTGCCCTTCTATAATCTTCAATCGTGGCATTCAAGACAACAGTATCCTTTTTCGTTTGTTCTTCTAAAGATTGCTTCAGCTTACTCCATCGAACCATGGTTCAGATATCCAGATATCGTTGACGTTGAAGCATATGACATTTTTATCAATCATCAAGTCGAAAACTCTCCTCGCATAAACAATGGTTCCATCATAATAATCAACAGCAGCCGTGTAGAGGAAATCATCAGGCTGAATGTCCACAATCTAATTATCTAACCATGAATGCAACCGAATTGCCAAAGTCTCAACATTGGAGGCACTGGTACTAATAGAGGCTTAAAAAATCGTGGAGAACGTAACCCATCATCAGCCTTTTCTTGGCAGTCAAAAACCAGCGAACCAAATAGATCAATTCTTCAAGCAACCCTTTGTCTCAAATATCCACCAAGCATGTAGTTATAAGCAGAAAGATTTCAGCGAGGCAATTGATCAAACACTTGGCGGGCATACTTCAAGCCACCTTTCAAGTGGAGCACGAGGAATTTGATACGTACATTTGCGTCGGAAGGAAACCCGTCTTCAGAATGTGGTCGTTCGCTCATTGAGAAGCTTTGGCTCGTCTGACCAAGGGAATTGCTGAAATCGAGTTCACGACAGACAAAGCAGCAGCGGCACAATTCGAAGCTTTGAGTTCCTACTTCCTCCTCTCTAGTCTCTCGCGTTCAGAAAGCAATGAGATTTATACTGGGCCTGACTTTGGGTTTATGGGCCGGTGGGCTGTGGTGGTGAGAAAATAATAAATATATTGTTTAAATGTTTTAGAAAATAAAAATACTTTGTTATATAACAAACAAACCCATCTGGTTATATAACAAAGTGGATAATATTATATGCAATTGAGTAGTTAATTCTTTGAAAGTATCCAGCTGCGCTGCTCTTGCTGTTTAGTAACTTCCAACTGGGCTAACGTGATCATGCTTGGGATTTACATGGCTTGCCCCATTAAAATATGTGGAGAGTACTCTACCCAAGTTCGAGTTGAGGATGTGTTGTTGGGCACTAGGGAGTTCTTGCGGTTTGTTGTTTTGTTTGCATTAATGAAACGGCATGTTATTCTGTGTTAGTATTTGTGTTTCTATTGACACTATCGATGGTCTCTGATTATGAGTTTGGTTTTGGGTGTAATATAGTTAATTTTCTGTCTCTGTTCATGGTGTTTTAAATGGGTTGAGCGTTGGAGAGACGTGAAGATAATGAGCTTCTATGGTTGCTGTGATGGTCATGCAGTATCTTATTCAAGTTGTAGCAGTCATGATAGTCGGCCATCTTAACTAGTTGTCACTCTCAGCGGCCGCCATTGCATTTTCTTTCACAGGTGTCACTAGACACTGGCTACCTTTCCGAAAGATAGGAATGTGCACTTATTGTGTCATGAGTCATGACATCCATGACCCTCGCTTGTATTCCGGTGTCCGTTCTGTGGCTCTTCACGTACAAGCTGCTCCTCATTGCACACCAAGACCCCTGGATCTTCGCGCAAGCTCGTGGTTACTCCATCTATCTCATAACATGGAATGTAGGCTCCATTCTTCTTTTTTCCTTATTTAATAAAAGTTAGCAAAATACTAAAAATATATCATTTAAATGTTTTTAAACAATAAAGATGTCATGATATATATAAAAGGAATAATCTCGTTATATAACGAAGTGAATTACACGTCTCTCAACTTGAGGGACGTGTTGTTGGACACTGTGTAGTTATTGCATTTTTTTGCATTGATGACCTATTATGTAGTTCTGTTGGTGTATTTGTTTCTATCGACACTATAGTCTCTGATTATCCGCATTTTTTTTTGTCTAATATAATTGCAGTGTTGAGTGGTGGTCATATATATGATGTGCTTATATTCATGGTTGGACTCTTTACAAACCCCAAGCTAGAAACTTAGGTCATGTCTATTTGGTAGGATGGCCTCATAGTGATTGTCTACTTGACCATTCTTTCCATGTTCATCAAAATGATGAATAGTATCACATCACTTAATTTCTTCATACCTTAATGGATGCAACTTCTCATTCACTTTCTTGCACTACGACATTCCATATGGGATTGGAGCAGGTGTAATGTTGGTACTGCTTGTTGATCACCTTTAGTGGATATCGAGTGAAATTCTTAGAAGAATTAGACTTGCGTATCATTTACTATTTTTCTTTATTATTATTATTATTATTATTATATCAATTGAATGTTGAAAATTGTGAATTGAGCATATTTTGATGAAGAACCTCCATATATTAGTGGTAGGAAGGAGGAGGTAAATAATATCAATTGAATGCTAAATTAACGTTGAAACGATTTTCACAACTTTAGCATTCGAGTCTTGAATGATCTTGGAGCTGGGGAAGCACGAAGCAACTATATTGTCATTGATGGACTTGTGGTGACGATTGTGACAGCAAAGATACTCGTCCTAACATTCTTGGCAGTGGTGCTTGCAGCTAAGAAACCAAGTCGAGAAGCTTTTCTCTTCAAAACCTTAACTCAACCATGAAGCAACGAATTTCACATACTTCTATGTTGCCATAATTTTCCTCGACTTGTTTACCTTAAGTAACATGGAATGCAGACGATCAAAGGGCCAAAAGGTTACATCGAGTACAACCAGATTAGTGAGGGCCACGACGAATGAGAAGAACTAAGCAACCAAGCGAAAGAAACCATAAAGCAACCAGAGTCCTATCCCAACCAAAGCCACCAGTCTCCATCCGATCACAAAGAGACCTTACCCAACACCCGCCCACATCCCATCCTAGTCCAAGATAGAACATAAGAAATGAGTCTGCATCGACAGTAAAAGCAGTATGTGTGTACAGTGATAGGGGCTGTTGGCGTTTTTCTTCTTTCAACTATGATAAACAAAGACAAAATAAAGACTTATAGAGTATTTGGAGCTTGCTGGCATTGTCAAAGGGCATTTGGTCTAGTGGTATGATTCTCGCTTCGGGTGCGAGAGGTCCCGAGTTCGATTCTCGGAATGCCCCAAAGAGCTCTTTCTTTTTGCTTTTGGTATTTCTGTTTAGTAATATGTATATCCATTTAATATTTTGTATTAAGAAAATCACGGGGTCGTGTCATTACTCATTATTATAAATTATAGCACTTTTTGCTTTTGGTATTTCTGTTTAGTAATATGTATATCCACTTAATATTTTGTATTAAGAAAATCACCGGATCGTGTCATTACTCATTATTACAATTTATTATCCATGTGACTAAAGTTGAAATTCGTATCTTTAAGGGTATTCCAATTTTCTTATACCATTTGTGTGGTATTATGAATTTATGATAGTATTATGCTTTTTGATTGACAAATTCCAGGCAAAAACCTTGAAATTGCCTGTACAACACATATTTTAGTTAATTCTCTTGTGTTTTGACCGGCCAAATAGCCTTGTCCAAAGGAAACCTTCCGTCGCATTGCACACTTCCTTTAAATTTTCCTATCGTATTCATTTAGGTTTTCCAATGAATCACCACATTGTACATTTGTACTCCAGATCAAATCGGTGAGATTTGCTACAAGGTTGATTTGAGAATGAATTTGAAGATCGGTTGAAAGTAAAATCATTTGATAAAAGCGAATTACAAGCTTTATGACTAGTTTATATTGTCGGAGTTCAATGAGGTAAGCGTTAGAATGAGGTGGAATTAACAATATAACTAAATTAGACTTGCCTAACTAGTTATATTTTAATTTTGGTACCAAAATTATCTTGATTGTAACAATACGTACAATCCCTATAAAATTACATTCCTAATCTTATACAAGTTGTGAAACTAGTCCTATGCTTTTACGAGATTGACAATCCAAATTATAATTGAAATTTATTTGATCGCTGGTAGTGTGGTACATAATTTACTCGAAAGTACGATAAACTATATGTACGATATCACAAATAATGAGTTTTGCTCTGTCATATTCTTACTAACCGGCCAAGGACATTAGTAAAAACCACATTTTGGGCCTTACGGACGTAAGAACTGAAACTGGTAGGCCCGCAGTTGTATGGGGAGAATCTTTTCAACTTGGCGGCCCGATGGGCTCATCTTAAGGCCTTTTCCCAGTCCCGCCTTTTGCCTCCACGTACCTAAAATCATAAACCAGTGCCTCTGCCTCCTTCCTGAATTAATACTAGCGCAGGGCCCGGCCCGTTGGGCGGGTAAACTAAACATAAGCGGCGCATTTGACAAATGTTGGAACATGAAATCAAATGAAAACGAATTCATTTTTTTGTCAATTTAAGTTTCAAATTGTTCAGTTAAAATGTTTATACGAATATATGAAATTTAATAAGTGGGCTGTAATATTTGGAACATAATAATAAGCATCACATTGGTAAAAACCACAGGAGATAGATGGAGCTGCCAAGTAATAATCTATTCGGGGAAAGAGTTCAACATTCATAATTGGAACAACTATACAGAAATTATCTTTGAATTAAAGCACTGTTCAAGTACGTCACTCCCTCTACCAGAATAATTTGCGAAGAACCAAATCAAACTCATTGGTCTGGCCGTTGAAATCTCCAAATTCAATCATAAACTTCAATATATTCCCCCTGAGAGCAGCTAGGAGAGTCCTGAAGTCATTGGTCCATTCCTTGTCTGTAGCCTCAATGATACGGCTTGCTATCCACCGGAACTTGGTAGTCATAAACATGATAGAAGCCTCATGAGGACCAGTAGCAACAGTCAGCCTCACCATAAACTTGAGATGCACACTTGACCAAGAAACAGTAACATCCTTGACTGTTGCAGTAGTAAGGTACAAATTCCCCTGCAATATGAACCACATGAAAGCTTACATTTGGGAATGGTAAGAGGATAATTGATATTTTATTGGGTAATTATCATAAATGGTAATAAATCTATTCACTTTGTACAAAACGGTAACAATTCTTTAATTTTGCACGTTTTGGTAAAAAAAGTTTGAGTGAATAACGAATTGGTCAATCCGTCTACTTCCGTCCAAAACTCCATTATCCTTTGTCCAGTCACTATGACATGTCATTGAAAATATTAATAAAAAATTAGTTCATCACCCAATTGACCCACACAACCCAACCGGCCGTATCATAATACCCACCCTTCTCGAATTGGAGAAAGTCAGCGACTTGCGGGAGAGAGGGGCGATCGGACTAGAAGATAACGATGACAACTTCTACCTTAATCTTTCTGCCGCCTCTTTCGCGCCGCCCACCAAGTTCCCCGTCAATCCCTCCCTGATTCCGACCGGAGGGCACTTCAACCGGAAGAATCTGCTGGTCACGAGCATGACTGTCGCGGGGGCGATGATCGGCTTCGTTCTGCTTATAGCCATAGGAATCTTCTGTTTAGTTCTTCGAATCTGGAGACCGAGGCGGCAGCGCAGGAATCTGAGCTTCAGTTGGCGGCGGCGGGATCCGTCGACTGTTTTGCTACACAGGACGATTTCATCGCGAAATATCATGGCCCTGTGATTGATCAGCCGATTTGGTACATCCACACCGTGGGGTTGGATTGGAACACTCGAAAATGGAATCAATCCCGGTGTTCCAATACAGACTGCTCTGTTTGCCTAAGCGAGTTTGAAGAAGGCGAAAGCTTGAGGTTGTTGCCCAAGTGTAGCCACGCTTTCCACATCCCTTGCATCGATACTTAGCTTAGATCTCACAAAAATTGCCCACTCTGCAGCGCCCCGATCGTTGCCGCCGATGAGAATTCCAGAGCTGTTGTTGTTCAAGCTGTTGTTGTAGGGTCATCGATGAATCTCAATTCCGGGGAAAATTCTACAGTAGAGAATTTGGAACCTACAACTCTAATGACCGCACAGGAGGAGGAGCGAGAGGGTGAAGTGAGTCTTGGTAGTGGTGAGTGGTGACAATAGTAGCAATGAACCGGACCTTTCAGATCATTCAAAGAGATTGATGGTATTATTAAGGAGCAGTCTTTCGTGGGTAAGGTTCCAAGCGATGTGTTCGAACGAGGGAGAGAAGGGGCAGGGGATTTGCAGGGGTTGAGGCGGTCGCTATCGCTGGATTCGTCATCAGCAATGGCGATTTACAGGGCGGTGGAGAATATCGAAGTAGAAGATGAAGGAAAAGGGAAGACTTTGGGTCCGGCCGGTTGGGTTGTGTGGTGTTAATTAGGATGATTAATTTATTTTTTTATTAATATTTTTAATGACATGTCATGCTGACTGGGCAAAAGATAACGGAGTTTTGGACGGATTGACCAATTCGTTATTCACTCAAACTTGTTTTACCAAAACGTGCAAAATTAAAGGATTGTGACCGTTTTATACAAAGTGAATAGGTTTATGACCATTTATGATAATTACCCATATTTTATTGGTCAAGTTAGAGCATTAGAGACGCAGTTACATCCAACCATGGTGTCCAGGCCAACAATTATGATATTCAATGGGAGCAAAATATGAATGTTGAAATTTTTGTAGGAGTTGACCGAGTGTACATATAAACTACCTGGTTGGTGAAATCAGTCTTATATAGATTCAGTTCCGAAATGGAACATATCTCACTTAACCATATAGCATCCTCCAACGTGTAGTCAATGGCCAGCGAGACATTTTCTATACTGTAAATAAATAAAAATAATTCCAAAACATGAGAATAAGAATAATAAAAGAATTGATTCTATTGATCAAAGGTTAAACACTTACTTATCAAGCAGGGGGTGCACGTGAGGATAGTGCAAGTTGCAATATACTTTCGTTGCATTTGAGCCCACACAATATTCTTCCCCTAAAACCATAACATCTAAAAACTCAATTACCACTAATCTAAACTAAAAGAACAGGTTTGAAAAATAGAATGAAAACCATGTAAGAGACCTGCGAAGTGGCGAACAACAACGGAAGTGAAGACAACTACTGTTCCTGGTAAAGGATCATTAGGTGTCACAGCTTGAAATTCGTCAATTAGACCATCCCATAAGACGACATCAACTATAGGTCCCCTAAAATTTTTTTTAAAAAAAGATGCATGAATGGGCTGCATACGGTAAGCACACTTCAAATGTAACCTGTACAAAAAAACAACCAACTGACTCAATCAATCTAAGCTGCACCCCCTTTCGCCGTAAAATAGCAGCATCTTCGAATAGGACCTCTTCTTGTTCAACAGTTTCAACCTCCCCAATTAAATCTGAGCCCAAACATATCGTTAGGCACACAATATGAAAACCAAACCGGCCAAATAAAGCTTTCTTTGAATTAGAAATACCAAACAAATATTCATGATTATGGACAGCAAAGGGAAGATCATTAGCAGCCAAAAACCGAAAGCTATATGTTGGTATGTCGGCTGCATTCTGGAGTTCCTCAATCACCGTATCATTATGAAAGCGGATTCGGATAGTTGCAGGAGCAACTCTATACGTATCATCATATTCTTGGACCAAAAAGTTGCTCAAGATATAGATCCTTCCCACGTGAAGAAGAGGAGCAAACAACTGAACATTAAGCATATCAACCAAGGCCTGCATCTCTGTTCCCTAAAAGTCACGGTAAAAAATCTTTGAGTATTTTTAGAATTGAATAGCGTACTTCCCACTCATGTAACGAATAGAAGGCTTATAAAATCAAAGTACCTGGTTGTCGAGAAACAACATGTGGATTTGGTCAAGCGTTACACCATCAGGCCTCATTGTATGCCATAAATGCAGGAGCCTGACGCGAACAGCCTGGTCATTGTCATGGAGGTTCAATTGGGCTAAATTGCGGAGAGCCATCACTGATACGGCACGCTGGAAAAGAGTCAATATTTTGGATGGCAGCAAACCTTTTCACGTGCTGGAAATGTTCTTTATATAGACTTGCAGGGAAGGAAGTTGGTTTAAGCTTGAGAATAGGTGGCATAGTGGAAGAACGTGGTGATCATGGCAGTTAATTACTTATTATTTGTATTTATAATATATTTTAATAGGAAAATGACAGGCCATATTGGCAAGCGAAAGTAGCAGTACATAGTAAGCATCGGCTTAGGAACTATTAACATTTTTTACCCTAAGACTTGTCTGGATTCTGACTAATGGTGTGAATGGTCTAATGCAGGGGTTGGTCGAAGCATAAGTCTGGTTCTGCACATAGCAACCTTGATCTCGGCATGATGTGAAAATGGAAGCAGCCAATGATCCTTTCATTGATGCTAATTACCTGGTCAGAGTTGGATTAGTAATTATTAACATTTCTTTTCCTTATACTCCAAAATGAAATGGATCTTTGGTGATGTCCAAGTTGTTTAAGTGTACTGGATTGAACTCTGAAATGTCATTCAATATGTTTCATTTGAAATTTGATGATGAATTTGCTGGTTTAAGAGAGTGCGGGATAAAGGTGCCCATTGTATGAGCATGTAATGGATGTTGAGATGAAAACATAGGATAGGAAAACCATGTAAGAAAGGCATGATGAAAATAAAGATGTGTGTAATTCATTATTTGTCAAAGGATGTGATAAAGCATTTCAAGTTGCCAAATATTGATCGTTCACATATGCGGGTTGGAATTCAGTAGAGTTGAAGAATTTGACGTTGTATTTTTTGATATCACTTGTCTCGACCAACTCCTCAACTACTGTTTTTGCATCCAAGAGAATAGGTACGTATATTGAAATCCATCAATCCTTATATGGCACAACGACCCATTGTCACTGTGCAACACAACAAACGGGAACAAAGGAAAACCAGTAAACAGTTTCGACAAACACCCAGCAGTCTAGCAACAAAAGGAAATTGAACTGTTCTTCTACAGAATCAAAGTGGAACTACTAATAGGGTATTGGTTACATAACGTTCAACCCCTCATATATCACTCTGGGTGCATCTTTCGTTTCAGTTTATTATCAGGGGTGATATCAACAGAAACGCCTTTGTCTGCCTCTTGATGTGCTGGATCTGGGATGGAAGGTTGCGATGAAGTTTGGGAGGACTCAACTCCACTGGTAATTGATGAACATGAGGCATCTTTGTGAAGAACAGAAGCTGGAGATTGAAAATAAAAAAATGGTGGAAAGTAGAAACAATTAATAGTAGGACTTTAAGAGGATTCAATGAAAGCTATTATTAATCAAGTACGAATCAGGTCATGCAAACATATGTCATAGTCATTGTACACAAAACAGTATAGTAGAGTTCTAAGTCTGGAAGATCTAATGAGTAGCTCACCTGTTCTGTGGGTTCCAAGACTTTTAAGACGGTGAAATCAGCTTGTGAATCACTGTAGAGATTTAGCTTGAACTTGACATGGAATAGTTTGGTCGCACCAACTATTTGGAGTAGATCTGGAGGGGGTACCTCATTGTTCTGACCCGTCCTATTGAAAAGATCATTACCACTGACACCAAAGAAGCGTTTTGCTTCATACTCAAAGATGATAAAGGTAGCTGGCACAGAACTGCTTTCAACATCAAGCTGTATACGATATCTGGAAAGGCACGAAATGGAAATTCAGCATATTCAATGAAGTTTATAATTCAAGGATCTGATGGAATTTATCTTGGAACTCAATGATATGGTATTTACTTGGCAGCCCTTGTTGGTGTTGGCTTGTTGCATTTGACACAGTAGTATTCTCCATGTCTTTCTATGGGTTTAAGGACACAGGTTGGACAGCCCATATAACACCAAAATGGCTTGATTCCTACGACTTTGCATTCAACAGCATACACACATTCCTAGTTGTAGTCGAAGTGAATTAATATTGGCGTATAGATTAGAGAAAACACCATAATGTAAATTTAGAGAAAACACCATAATCTAACCTCATTATCAGGGTCCAATTGAAGTTCCAGCAATTCCGATAGAGTAATATTAGGGATGAAGGGGGGTGGGGGTAATTCACAAACACGGGCTGCTGTGGTTGCACATTCCTTTTTCAAAAGAAATAAATATGTTAATTTGACATTGGTTCAACAGTATGGTTCGGATATTCATTAGCAATTAAAAGAGAATACCTGGTTGTGAAAGCCTTTACTTCTGGGATATCAAGGTTGGGATACAACACTGTTGAACCCGAAGAATTAAAGCAAAGTTCACCTGAAAAATTAAATTGATGTTGTTCCTACTGATCAGTCACCCATATATCTCAAATGCAGCACAGTGTAAACAGATGTTGTACCTAGGAAGGGTTTGACAGAAACCGCAGTCACAACCAGTATGACTTGTTCATCATCACCAGGCTTGATCAACTTATCAAAGTCAGCTACAACTCTTCCCCAGATAATAACTTTGACAACATCCCCTCTGTAAAACAACGTAGGCTTAGGTTTGACAACATAAGTAATGCCTAAGCATGGGTGTAAATGAACACCATACAATGAAGTGACCCATATAAATGTATATGATCAGAGGCTGAATAACCCATGATCTAAATTTATACTGCCTAGAAAAAGTAGAACGTTGTACCCAAGCAATCATCAATCATTCATGTAACTCCAACTTCATATTGATACAACCGTAGCAAAGATAGCTCTTACTCAATTAGTTTCAGTTGAAGCTCCTTCCGAATGGTTTTCCTAGCAAGATTCGTTGTCTTGATGGCATCCGAGTGCTGTACTACTTGCCCAACAACATCTATACAAAGAAAAGTTAATGGAAATTAGACGCAAGCAAGCACAGAAAGGAAATCAACCACTGAATAAATTGCGGTTGTAACCTGAGAGGACGACCACATCATTCAATTTAGATGCCATCTCACTTGCTTTGAGGAATTTGAATTTGAAGGCAGGAATGGAAGAGACATCGGGAACATGCTCAACAGTAGTCTTCCGGGAGAACGACATGATATATGTATTGGCAATGGGGCGATATTTCAGTTGGGTTGTGTGAAGCTCAAAGTTTTTAATGGTGTAGACCTGCTGTTCCTTCAGCAATCGTTTGAAGTGTTCTTGCAGCACTGGTGGGATATGCACCCATATATCATTTCCCTGGGGATTTATAGAGACGAAATAAGACAGTCTGGATGATATGTGACGCAACTAAAGTTAATGTTAAACACAGCCGTACCTTGGCATCCATCAAGATGAGATCGAAATGCAGGACTTTATCAGTCGTCACATTAACACCCAACCATGCCCTGGAGACGCGACAATGCCCTGATCAGAGTTGTTTCTCGGACTCAAGATCTCGGATGCCATTGAATGCCATGGTGTAGCTACCAAAGTACATAAGCACTTAGTTATAGTGTAGGAATAGGAGGTTGGTTTGATGGAGGAATGAAGTGGGAAAAAAATTCTGTGAAGAAGAAGTTACCTGGCGGGATTTAGCAAGCGTCAACTGAAATATAAAATGAGCCGAGAGATTTAGAGAAGGTATATATATGTGGATTCCAGTTGGGGCAGTTACCAATTGCCCCACGTTGGCAAGCAACAGCAACATCTTCGGAAGGTAACTGCTACACCAACGTGAACTGCTTATTCAAAGGGTGTAGAGCTGGAGATGGAAATAGGGGGGAAAATTCAAATATGTCAGTTATAAACCAATGTAAATTTCCCAAGGACCGACAACGCGCCAAAACAGAGCCAATATAACTTACCATCCATGTTCAATGAGTACCTGGGGTTGAAAAGCAGCTCGGTTCCTTTTATTCCCCGCTGCCGCCGCAAAGAGGGCCAAAGTCGGAGCTGAGGCTTTGACTGCGTGACGTCTGATTCCAGGTGGAAACCATCTTCCAACCTGCACCCGGTTGAATTGAATTGCAATGTTCGGGGCGGATGTAGTCTAGGCAATTGGTTGCTTCTTCCAAATAGGGATATGGGGAGATGGATATTTGGGGCAGGTGTTCTGCATGGGGAAGACCGGTTAGCTAGCGCCATCCTCAGATAAGCGTTCGCTGCCGACGGGGATCCGAGCCTGTGGTCGCAATTCACTCGCCGGTGAAAGGCAATGGTAGCGCCAAGAATTGTTTGTTGTACTCTAGCCTCTAGGGTTGGAGCTCGATTCCAATGCTGCTAGGAAGCCGCCCAAAAAACCAAAAAAACCATGTGGGCCGAAACCTCCTCCACTGTTAATTAGGGGAAACGACATTCACATATGAGATCTTGTTGTGGGCTATAGATGGACCGTCATGTGTAACAGGCCCATGTGAAATATCTTTTTCGCTTGGTTATTTAGAATGGGTCCATTTATATATCTATCTACCTTAGAAAAGTATAAAGACAAAAGCACATATCCTAAACTGAACTTTTCCCTTTACACTGGCGGCAATAAAAGTTGGGAGAGTGAAATGGGCTTTGCCACATTTCTGCCAATTCATTTACCATTTGTTTTTTATTGATCAATTAAACTATAATAACAGAAAATTCTCTTTCGTTAATTTACATTTAACACACGGGAAGATTTAATTGGGATGGTGCAATACATCCATCCCAATGACGGTTTTCTCAGAGTAAAGGGTTTTTGGAACTCAAGCGATCAATATGGTGCACTTGTGTTTGAATGGTGAGTATTCCTGCAAGTGAAATATACAGATCAAATTATTATGATTTTGTAAGACCTTCAAAGTTGATTTAATGTACTACCAAATGAGTCGCAGGACTATGTTGCTTAAGACGATCCCTTTCAGCAGCGGTTTGTTGGTTGGGAGGAGGAGTTGAAATTAGGTGTGTCATTTTCTCATAAACGTGAATCAATTGACAATGCATCGCTAGGGTTGGCAGATTGATAAAATAAATGAATACCATTTTGAAGTAGTGAATTTTTTAGCCAGTAAATCACTCGTATCATCGAGTAAAAAAAAAAGTTAGGTTTTCATTTATTTATTATCATTTGACAAAAACATATCTGTATGGTCAGCACAAATTATTGGTTGGTATGCGTGTCAAAAGAAACAACAACAAAAAAAAAAACTTGCGGATGAATAATTGTATTCTTAATGGTTTCTATTGGTTTTTCGGTTTTACCCAAACCAAAACCATTAAGTTGCTTATTGGTTTAAAACAAAACAAAAGAAACAATTAGCTTTCCAATTGGGTTGGGTTTGGTTAAAACCCAAAAAAACCCAAACCAAATGGACAGCCATAGCGACGCTTGGATCAAACAAATATAAAACCCAAAATAAAAAAAACAATTAAAACCTCCCACCCACCCGAAGACGGTTTAACTCCCTTCTTCCTTTCCCTCCTCCATCGCTCTCACCTACCCTTCAGTCCCTCCACAGAAACCTGACCATCCACATCCCCAACCCGCCATCTTCTGCTTCTCCTGCTTCCCGCTCCCTCCGCAAACCCCGACCCTCCCACTACGCTCGCTCATTCTCCCTCGTCGAACAACCCTACCGTCGAATCACCACTCGCGCGGAATCCAACAACGGCACCGAGTCACGACGTCACTATTCACTCGCCGGCGAGAAGACCAACAGTCCAACCAAGCCATTGCATGCACTCATGTTCCAGCCCTCCCTGACTGACCGATATTAGTACCATCTCTACGGGGTCGTTTGCTTGTGGGATTTGGGTGTTGTATTTGGCACCCAAATACCAAGCATTATGTATTTGATGTAAAAACATTGTTTGTTGAGGTATACAAATCCGTGGGGCCCACGGATTTGGATCTTATTTTTAGTTCCAAATCCGTGGACCCCACGTATTTGCAAATACCACATTTCATTTGGTATTTGCAAATACCACACTATGGAAGGCAAATTTTTGAGACCCAAATACCAAATGAACTAGATCCTTGATAAAAATTCAACTAAGCAAACAATGTTATCTTTCAAATACCAAATGCAATAAATCCATCATAAATCCAAAGGTTTTCAAAACTCAAAACCTTCATTTTCAAATCCAACAAGCAAACGAGCCCTACATCTCCAGGAGGTAAGTTCTAAAGTCTTACCGCGTAAAGACCCAGCCGAAGACGTTTCAACTCCCTTCCTCCCTGACGCCTTCTTCTGCTCTGCTCACTCTCCGGCCAACAAAGCAACTGGAAACCCATTCCAGTGCATGCACTCATTTTCCAGGCCTTCTCTCTGCCTGATCGACGTTAGCCCTATCTCAGCATCTCTAAAAGGTAATTTCTAAAACCCTACATCGGCAAAATCTCCCCTTTCCTCTCATCAAGAACTTCAACCAATTTTTCCAGACCACTCATCAATTACATTCGCTTGCTGGCCTTCAAATTAGGTTTCTCCAGATCTACTACAATCTTATCATCCAGAATTTTTTTTTTTTTTAGTTCGATACTCCAAGGAAACTTTGTATGTTTGTATTGACACATTCATGTATTGGGTTGCTATTGTTTGTGTATATTCGGGTTTACATAATTAGTTGATTAGTTTTACAGCTCTAACATTTGTTGATAGAGTTGCTAATATTGCTACTAATCTAAATTATAGATTCTTTTCCATGGGAGACTTCGTTTCAAATCTGCAATATGAAGTTGCCGCAAGAATTTGGGACAATGTAGAAACGATAGATCTTATCCCTATGCAATTGGATGTTGCTAATCAGGTGAATCAGATAACATGTATTTTATCTATCCGGAATCTATATTTTATCTAAAGAATTTGCATCTAATTTGGTCTTATTTTGAACTCCTTATGTTTTGGCTTGTACCAGGGCAAGTCATACATTTTCAATGGCTGGGTCACAGAATTGAGGAGATCTTGGCATGCCGACTCCAGCATATACTTGCTTCACTTGACAATTGAAGATTTTATCACCGATCTTGAGGTCGTATTTCCATCAGCTTACTTACGGCGAGTCATGTCTGCTGTTGTTGGTCCTGATGAGATGGAAGATGTGGAGTACATTCCACTACTCAACAGGATTGGTGAGTCGCCATATAGGGTCTTGGTCACATTCGGACCTTGGAACAACGTGGAGAATCGTCTTGATCTCTTCTTGGTTAAGTTGTTCCCGATTTTAGATGACTAAGTAGCGTAGGGTATTATTAATATAATCGGATTAATGTTAGTAATGGTCCACCTCGCTCTAATTTCGAATTATCTAACCGCGTAATGGATATGTGAACGCAAATATTTTTTGAAAGGTTATTATCCTTTTGAGGTGGTCCTTCATGTAACCATATTTTGAGCATCATATAATTTTGCTCTTTGTTTACTGTCACCTTCCTTGCTATTTGGTAATTCCTTTTAAATCCATTAGGACGACATGGAATCCTGCTCCGTGACATATACAACGCAATGCACATATGGACTATGGTATGCATATGCAAAATAGTCTAGAACACACCTTACAAAATAAAGAAACGCATTTAAAAGATACTAAGCTTACCATGTGGAATATATTCAACAGTACGTCGCAAGCGCGCATTCAAGATCTCCGGCAGCTGAATATGGGTTCCGAGAGATTTCGATGGAAGCATTTCACCAGCAGTCTTTGGGCCGACTACGTCAAGGGGGAAGAGTTTGGGCCGGATACTTCAGGGGGCAACAGCCCGGTCCGACTATATAATAAACTGGCCCGGTCCACCGGCAGAATGTGTTGGAGGTGAAACGCACAGTTTTATTTAAATGTGAATTCACCAGCAGTCTTTGGGCCGACTACGTCAAGGGGGAAGAGTTTGGGCCGGATACTTCAGAGGGCAACAGTCCGGTCCGACTATATAATAAACTGGCCCGGTCCACCGGCAGAATGTGTTGGAGGTGAAACGCACAGTTTTATTTAAATGTGAATTCACCAGCAGTCTTTGGGCCGACTACGTCAAGGGGGAATAGTTTGGGCCGGATACTTCAGGGGGCAACAGCCCGGTCCGACTATATAATAAACTGGTCCGGTCCACCGGCAGAATGTGTTGGAGGTGAAACGCACAGTTTTATTTAAATGTGAATTGCCTAAAGTGCCCTTCCGACAAACCCTCTGCGGGCTGGAAATTTGAATCCCTGCAAACTAAACACTTGTTTTGGCTTCATATATCTTATAGATTCTTCCTTACAAATTACAGGCACGTAAAATGATATTCTATATTAAAAATTGTTTTATATAATTGAAAATAAATTTCAAATAATATAGAAATTCTGAAAATTTTAACTTGAAGATTAGTTGCAAAAATTGGTG